AAGTGATGTGGCCATGTATCGCCAAAGCACACCTACACCAGTGCCAATATACAGCCACATTGCACTGCTACTCGTGTGGTATATATATATATATATATATATATATATATATATATATATATATATATATATATATATATATATATATATATATAAATTGTTCAATATCTGTATGTGTGTCTGTGTGTTTATAGATATAATAATTATGCATTGTGCAAACATGCTATGTAAATAGAAACTTTTAATTTTGGATCAGATCAATCACGATTAATCGTTTGACAGCACTATTTCATTAACATTATTTTAACTTTTAGTCTAGCTATAGTAATCCTGAAGAGGAAGAACAACAGATAAACACTACCATCATATCTACAGTTGGGTTAAAGCGATTTTAATTTTGTGGTAACACTTTATTTTGATGGTCAATTTGAGTATTAATAGACTGTCTGCTTTATATCTGCTGATACTGCTTCTTCAGCAGACATTTAACTGACTATAAGAAACTTTGTAAGTACATGTCAACTTACACTAACCCAAACCCCAACCTAACGAAATACTTATAATCTGATGAAAATTAGCTGTCATGTAGATGCAATGTAACTAAAATTTAACAAATGGACCATCAAAATAAAGTGTGACCAGTTTTGTTTAATATTATTACTTTATTAACTTTCAAAATAAATCAATCAATAAATACATTATACAGAGCAAATACTGCATAATTTAAAGGCTTCACATTGTTTGCTACATAATCATAGTAGATAATTAAAGTGGACAAACTGTTTTTAATATTTAGAATAGATTAACTTAATCTCGAATGATCCTGAAAATGTGATCACAGAAATAAATGACATTTTAGAATACACTAAAACGCTTGCAACAATATTTCACAATTATTGTTACTGTATTTTTATATATATATAAATGCCACATTAATATGAAGTAGCATACAAAACATTTCTAAACATTTATACATTATACAAGGTACTAAACTCCTCATAAGCTCATTGGCTCTCACCAATGTCTCTCTTCATGGCGCTGGCGAGTTCAGACACGCTCATCCTCTGCTTGATCTCCACCTCCTGCTTCTGCTGTTTCTCCAGCTGTGATTTGAGCTTCTCACCTTTGAAACGAGCCTTATCCTACAGCAGGACAAACACACAACACTTTCTGCTCACCACATGCACACAAGGCAACCCAACAACACGCTTTGATCTAGTCATCTGCATCAGACTGTTTGGACTCTGCGCATAGGCATTCATTGATATATAATTCGAACCTGTTTTGAAGCAAGATGTCGGATCTGTGAGCAGGTGTATGGAGGTTTATTGGTCCAAGCAGAAACAGGGGACAATTGTGGACCCCCATGATGCCAACATGACAATGACGTCCTTCCAATTAAGGTTGCCATGCGCTTCATTGCAGATTATCTAAAAAAAAAAAAAGGTAAATAAATAAAGGAACAGTTCTCTAGCTCACATAGAACCAGAAATTCCTCTATAACGGAGGCTATAAGGTCATTAAATAAGTCCAGGGGAGAGGGAGATGCTCCTACATGATGATGTATGGTATGTTGTTTGGTAATATTTTATTAATGTGTACATTGAACTTATTACTTATGGCACCTTGCTGCAATTTTAATTTCCCTAAACGGGATAACAAAGTGAGTCTGAGTCTAATATGAATATTCTGTCATTTTTATATCTACACTTGTTCAAGTTTCGTTTTCCTGTTAAACACAAAAGTAGATATTTAAAAAAAAATGCTGAAACCCAGTAGCCACTGACTTTCTTATTGTGCTTTTCCAAATTTTAGAAGTCAATGGCCTTCAGCATTCTTCAGAAAATCTTTCTTTGTATTCAACAGCAAAAAAAAAAAAAAGACAATGAATAAAAAGTAAATAAAAATTCCTTGAGATTGAGTAAACGATGACAGATTTTACATTTAATCCCTTTATTTAAGGTCGGTAAAATATCTACACATTTATTTACTATTGCTGTTACATGATAGAAGTTACATGTTACATGAAGAAATTATAGAATTATTATATGCTAATGCTACAGACGTATGTTAATCTCTTTGTACTATAGAGGTAAAGTTGGTTTTATATTCGCACATTCGTTCATTTTGCAGTCTGTTTACCATATTACTTTGAATATTCAATTGGAATTAGCATGCAAGTATGACTTTAAACAAGATTAACACTGTTTATTTGACTGTGAACAATGTTGTACTTTATCAGTCATTTGCTGCTAATGATTTTACTATTTAGAATTTGCAAAAAATATTTTATATGAAATTATATTATTAATGAGAATGTCTGAATATCCAAATATAAAACCAACTTTACCTCTATCTTTGTACTGAGGTGCCGTTAAACAATTATTGTTTCAAATGCTAATTCATTTTAGTTTAATTATTACAATGGTACTGAATGGTTAATCATGTCATCGTATTTGCATTTACCATGGTTTTAACCTCGCATATAAGGAAAATACGTGGTTATAGCAACCGTATTTGTTTAAATTAAATGGTACTACCATTATAAATGTTTACATCATAAATCATGGCAATGCCAGGTCACATTTGTATTTTTATGTTCTTTTGTAAGCTGATACTATCTTGCAGTCGCTCAAGGCAGACTAACAGCAGCATTATAAACCAGCATGTTATGTTTTCTACTTACTAAAAACGAGAAGATTCAGTGCTCGAAGAATTTATTCGGTCCAGCCACTCTGACAGCACAGGTGAGAAAAATAACTTAAGCAAATAAAATCTGAAGTCAGACGTCATTTCTGCTGCAAGGGCGCCGCCATGACAGTATATCCCACAATGTACTGCGCGAGCTGCGGTTCAAAACACAAACACGCGATGGCGACATAGCTACAAAATTCATTAAAATACATTTTGAACATGGTGGATCTTATTTACATACTTCGGCTATGATTTTGAAATAAAAAATAACACTGGTGACTTTTTTTTTCTTGTTTCCTAAACATTTTTTTTGTATTTATATTATGATTTCATATAAGCTTCTAGTTGGTGAAACTCATTAGGATATGATCGTCTTTATTGTTGAGAAATTGTAAGAAAAAAAAAATTAAAACAATAATATGTATGGATTAAACTATGTGATTCTCAAGGTTTACTCAAAACACACGTTTGCTGTTTGTCATTTATGTGTTTTCATAAAGTCAATGTATTGAAAATTTTTATTAAATATTAAAAAAGATAAATAGATAGATAGATAGATAGATAGATAGATAGATAGATAGATAGATAGATAGATAGATAGATAGACAGAGATAGATAGATAGATAGATAGATAGATAGATAGATAGATAGATAGATAGATAGATAGATAGATAGATAGACAGAGATAGATAGATAGATAGATAGATAGATAGATAGATATATAGATAGATAGATAGATAGATAGATAGATAGATAGATAGATAGATAGATAGATAGATAGATAGATAGATAGATAGATAGATAGATAGATAGATAGATAGATAGATAGATAGATAGATAGATAGATAGATAGATAGATGCTGTACACAAACTTGTTTTTATTATTTCATCAAAGACATACAGTTCAGTTTTCATAATTTATATTTCAATCCACTTCAGCGTACAAATATATGAAACACAAGCAAAAACCAGAACAACATAAGCAGGTTCTCTTAAGTTAAAAGGAAAGTTGATCAAATAAAAGGCAAGACACAAAGACTGAGATATTGACTGGTTTAAACAAATACGATGAGCATTTTTTAGCTAAAACAACCAATAGACAACACGCTATTCTGCAAAAGAGGAAATGACTGTAATATACAGTATAGAACAAATTAAACCACAGAAGTTTCAGCCTGATCTCATGAGGAAATGTAACGGTAACTACTTTACATTTTGTCAGTTTAGTGGTGAATTCGTGCAAATTCAGTCATACAAAAATTGGGTACGAATTTTAAAAGAAGGCGTGGCACAAACCCCGCCCCTAAACCCAACTGTCATTGAGGGATGAGCAAATCGCACTAAATTGTACGAATGAGATCTCATGATTTTATACGAATTAGCCACTAAATCAAAATGTTACGGATTGCCATGAGATAGTGTTGATACATGCACAGAGGGACACTTGTATTTAATTTCTAGGCTTATGTTCATGCAAGTATTTTGCCAGATAAAGTAAACACAACATTACAAAACATATTAAAAAAAAGATTAAGAACCGAATAAGGATTGAAAAGGGAAAAAGAAACATGAACTCAAAACAAAACCGAGAAATGCCAGGACCATAGTTGAGCATTGTTCAGTGATGTCTTTTTCATGGCTTCCCGACCGATTATGCCCAAATTAAACTCAGAGATGGCATAATCAAAGTGCATTGTTGACTTTCACATGGTCAGAATATAATCATATTAATGTGGATTTTGAAAGACCGTTGATCCCATAAAATTGATAGAGAGGCTTCTGTGTGAACACAAACACATCCAGGGATTGATAATAAAATAAGGACCTGGTAGCATTGCCGTGATCAGTCCTGAAACCTGCTCTTTGCGAACAAAAGGACAAATGTTATAAGGAATGTGTGTGTGTGTTCCAGAAAATCCCTAGGAGTGTAAATAAACCAAAATGTAATGATCTTAGCCAAATCCAACCCAGGCTCAATGCGGATACAAACCTAGGTCAACATTTCTGGGGACAGCGGAATACGTAACCAGAGGTACGTCTGCTCTTAGTTGTTGTTTTTGCTGCTGTTGTTGTTGCTCTTCTCAATATACAGAGGGCGCAATATACACTTCAGCCGATCAGGCCAGCTTGCGGTCAACTGACTGACTGACCCCCTTCCCTAAACCCAACCGATAGTGTTTTCAAAAGCAATCTAGAAAAAGAAAGCTGACACAGCCGCATGATTTTACTTTGTTTACAGCCTGTTGTTTATTTATTTATTTTTGTTTAACCTGATTTCTGTAACCCTTCTTTGGCAGACTCAAATACCGTCATTACGGTCAACTCTGCTCTGGATGCCTAGTCCGCTGACGTACGCGGCAAGCCACTATACGCATCATATCGCTCTATAGCGTTCATTTTAAAGACGAAATGCAGACAGACATACCACTGGCTACATAATTCGCGCTCTCCAGAAATGTAGACAGGGGTATGTAAACACAATGAGCCTATGTTGGACAAATCCCAACACATTATCGGGTATTTTCCAGAAATGAAAAGTGATAGAAAAGGTAAGTAAGTGGCTCTCCAGGATCAGAGTTATATATGTAGTGACTAATATATTGAAAGGTCTTTCACATTGATGGAAAATAACTTGTCACTTTGTCGCTAAATAAGAAGGTCAAATGGTTCATTTGATATCCTAAGTCTGTGTAAAATCAAAATGTTCAGTGCTTCCTTTGCTAGCTCACGTTGTTGTTCTTAGAGTGAACAATTGTTCCGTGCAACTGAATCCACTGAAAAATAATGTTTGTTTTGGTAATTATCAATCAAAGTCTGACCATCTGCTTCTTTGTTTGAAGTGGTGGTCCTTCCCAGTTGACCATTCCGCTCTTACCGTTAGTTTGCTAAAAGGGAATGACGTACAAAAGAAAGCCTCGCCCCTACTCAATATTCAGTTTTAGCTACAACTACATCAACATACTGAAATAGAAATCTCAACAACTTCAGGCTCACGCGGACTTTAACTTGACTCACTGAAAATTGTGTTTGTGAAAACAGAATCTATAGTGAACGCCGAATCAAAGATTTTGTCAGGTTTGTGGTCTTCTTCTTCCAAAACAGAGCTTTCTTTTGGAGCCTCCTCGCTGGGCTCAGGTTGATGTTCTTTGCCGTTCTTACTTGAAACCGATCCCACTGACTTCCCAGACACAGTGCTGAGGACACTGGCACGCCGACTGTTGCCTTCGGACGTGGAGATGACGCAGCTGGCTCGAGGAAGAGTAGACAGAGCCTGGCCTGTTTTGGGGCTTCGCATCGGAGTGGCAAAGCAATTCAAACACCCTGACACCGAGGAGGACTTCCCATGAGCATCGAGGGCAGGTTTGGAATCAGACTCTGTACTTTGCACGCTCTGAGTTTTATACAGTCCGATGTTTGCTTTGTCCAGCTTTGGGGTTGAGCGGTCTCCGGCAGATCTTCCACTGCTTGTACGCCGTACCCCGCTCCCTGAGGAGCAATAACCCTGCCTGAGCTCCTCATGGTTGGGGCGGGAGGACGAAGGAGAATCGTTGAATCGTTGACGGTTGGAGGAGAATGGATCTGGATGGGGGCTGCTATCACTGGACCAGGCCTCGTTCTCCAGGCTCACACTGAACTCACCACTGCTTGCGCTGGGGGCACGGCTCGATTTGCCATTCGTGCCTGCTGAAATGTAAATTACAGGGTGTTAAAAATTCAACAAGCTAATTCAACCTATGAGTTGTTATTGATTTGCTATGGTTCTTACATTGGTTCCTACCATGATCTTGGCCTTCGGTGCAATTTGTAAGACCCGATGGAATCGTTTCTTTACCTGAAGGGACAAATGTGCATTGTTAGGTACTCAAGACCAATGGCCCTAAACTTTAATCCTAGGGATCTAATGCTCTGCACACATATGTTTCTTTTATCTGAAACACATGGTTCAGTTCACGGAGCTCACTGCTAATAAGCTGTTTTAAAGAATAACAAACAAAATGTGCAGCACGGTGTTTTCCCTCACATGTAGGATCCATGTCTCTAGATCAAGGGAGCAAGACCTGTTTAAACAGGACCGAAGTTAAATCTCCAGAAAACTAGTCTTGCATCAATAAGTTTGGGCACCCCTTTTCCGGAACATGGACTGTGATCTAGTTGTAACTTTAAAGGGATAGTTCACCCAAAAATGGAAAAAAATCAGAAATTAGTTTTCTCACACTTGACTTGTTCCAAAGTAAACTAGGTTGGGTTTTTTTTTTGTCCTGTTGAACACAATATATAAATATATATATAAAAAAGAATGTTGTTTTGTTTAACATTCGGAACAAAAAAACCCCCAACTGATTTGGAAAAGACAAGGTTGAGTAAATGATGACGGAATTTTACATTTTTGAACTATCCCTTTAAGACAGGTGTATTTATGTTGAAAAGTTACATGCAAGACTTTAATCAATTCAATTGTAAAGCCACGAAGCACCAGAGCAGTGAAATGGTGCTTGCCATGCAAAAGTTGCTGCCACATTACATATGCCGGAATGTCGCAATGCATTTGGTAAGGTGAATGGATTTTAGGATGTTGAGTGTTTCAGTGATTGCCAGTGCATTTCTATACAGATGCTATGTTGTTGTATAGTAAGTGTTTCTGTAATACGTTTCTATGAAGTTCCATGTTGTTTTTCTATGCAATTTCAGAAGGTTTCCAAGTGAATTTTAAATTTTTTTCTGTATTTTTAAATTATTCCTATGAAGTTGATTAAAAGGATTGTTCAACAAAAAATTCTGTCATAATTTACTCACCTTTTACTTGTTTTAAACCTTTATAAGTTTCTTTCTTCTTTTAAACTCAAAAGAAGATCATTTAAAGAAAGACAGAAACCTGTAACCATTGACTTCCGAAGTTTTTGTTTTTCCTACTATGTATGTCAATGGTTACAGATTTTCAACTTTCTTCACAATATCTTTGAGATCTAGAAGAATAATACTCGTAGAGGTTTAGAAACACTTGAGGATGAGTAAATAGTGAGTAAATTTGAATTTTTGGGTGAACTGTCCCTTTAAAGGTTCTAAAGAAGGGGGAGCATGTTGTTAATGCCATGGCCTTTTGGTGGTCGCTTGCTAGAGCATTGCTATACAGTTGCAAAATGTGTTTAAAGAGATTATGTTTTCTATGATATGGATGGTTGTCAGAGTATTGCTTTTAGGAGCTTAAATGTTCGAGTTGTTTTGCTGTGGTGGTTTATGGGGTACCAAGATGTTTCTATTCAGTAGATAAAGTGTTTTTAAACATTTATTAAAAATCTGCTACAGTTGAAGTCAAAATTACTATTAGCCCTTTATTCTTTTTCAAATATTTCTCAAATGATGTTTAACAAAGGAAGGAAATTTTTCACAGTATTTTAGATAATATTTTTTTTTCTCTTCTGGAAAAATACTTATTTGTTTTATTTTGGCTGGAATAAAAGCAGATTTTAATAATAATTAAAAAATTTTTTTTTAAAGTCAATAAATGTAAAATATTTAAAACATTTTAAGGTCAATATTATTAGCCCCCATAAGCTATTTTTTTCTGATTGACTACAAAACAAACAGCCTGATCTCATGAGGAAATGTTACAATTTTACGTTTTGTCAGTTTAGTGGCTGATTTGTACGAATTCATACGAGTTCAGTCATACGAAAATATATATATTTTTAAAGGAGGCGTGGCACCAAACCAAAACCCCACCCCTGAACCCAACCATCATGGAGGGATGAGCAAATCACACTAAATTGTACAAATGAGAAAAATTAAGAATAAAAAATTACGAATTGCCGCGAGACAGCATTGGAACAAACCCAGGTTTTACAATGACTTGCCTACTCGTCTAGTTAACCTAATTACCTAGTAAAGCCATTTAATGAAATGAGTTATTAAACTATTATGTTTAGAAATGTGTTAAAAAAAATCTCTGTTAAACAAAACCTGGGAAAAAAATATTCAGAGGGGCTAATAATTCAGGAGGGCTGATAGTTCAGACTTTAACTGTATCTTGTTTTTAAATGCATTTACTACTTTTGTGGAATATACAGTAATGTTTTCATAAATAGTACCTTGATTACCAATCGATGTACGAATGTCAATGGAAGAGTAATGATGAAATGCTGATGTATGGTGTTTTTTTGAAATGGCAATGGTTGGCTCTTCTGGCTGATCCTCCTGCTGCCTGGAGTCTCCATCCAAACATCCCTCTGACAGCAGCAGGTCATTCATCGCTGAGATGGAACATGACAAGAGATGAAGATGACAAGAGATGAGGTTTATGCGGCTAAAATGCGAGGCAGCAATCGTCTTAAGGGAGTTGAAGCATTTATCTTGCATGATCGCTTTCTCTTTTTGTGAAGAATAAAATATGCTGATTTACTAAATTAAATGCTCTTACACAGAGATCGGCGGAAGAGAGACTTGACTTTGTCTTTATCCTTCGGTTTGTTACGCTTAACGTGAAACATTTTCAGGGCGCAGACTTGATCACCACAATGGAAGACATGAAGGAGACGAGGGAGAAAAACATGACAGTGAGAAAGTTTGTGAACGTTTTCAGAGGAAGGAAAGAAAAAACATGACAATTCACAACAACAAACATAGACAGAATTTTTTTTCAACTGCACTGTAATGTTAAGGCATTTTATTTGCCGTTTTTTTATTTTATGACTTGTTTTAAACAGGTCATGTAAGGTGTTTTTTATTATATTTTCATTTTTTTTATCTTAAAATATTGTATATGTAAAGCTGTTTTATAACGTAATTTTAATAGTTTGTGATTTTTTTTGCAAATATTTTAAATAAAAAAATTGTAAATCTTACAATAACCTTTTTTTTTTTTTTACCTTGACCAAGTAAAAGCTATACTCAAGTTTTTCAAGAATGTGGAAACCAGTGAAACTTAGTATGATTCATATATGCCATTATAATTATTTAATTAAATATTCTGAATAATAAAATGTTAAACTTTTAGACGTATACAGACTTTTTTTTTTAACTCACTGTAATGTTAAGGCTTAAGGTTTTTTTATTTTACGACTTGTTTGAAACAGGTCATCATGTCTTTTTATTACAATTTTTATCTTAAACAAAAATCTGTTTTGAAACATAATTTTAATATATAGGTAATCTACTACTTTAATATTTCAGTTATAAATTCCAAAAAAAAAATTAAGTAAAATGTTTTTTGACTCGTTTTGTTCAAGTGTCTACAGCAAAACATAAACATTCATGAATTTTCCAGTAGTTTGCACCTTTGTGATTTGTTTGCAAATACTTGAAATCAAAAATTGTAAATCTCACAACCTTTTTACCCTGACCAAGTATAAGCTACATTCATGTTTTTCAAAAATGTGGAAACCAATTTATATATTTTTATATTGACATTTTTTCCAACCTCACTGTAATGTCAAGCCATTTTTTATTTTTATTTTATTTGCATGGTCTCCTACTTTAATCAGGGGTTCTACAGGTTTCATCAAGTCAAATTTATGACTTTTTAAGACTATTTTTAGACCATTATGGATTAAATTTTACTCTTACACAAGGCTAAATGCTAAGGATTTTTCAATAGCCCAGTTAAAAAAAACCTATTGAAACAAGTGCTATTGTAAGGAAGATAATTAATTCATATTGATAAATAGAGTTAATAAATAAACCTTCAGTAAAACTTTTATTCAGATGGAATGTTAGTGATTGGATGCGTGTCAGCCTAATTGGGTTGCTGATTGCATGAACATACTGTTGCAAAATTAAGACCTGTTTAAAATGATTCAAGACCTAAAACACAATATTGTACCGCGGGTACCCTGGCTTAGTCCCTTTATTCATCAGGGGTCGACACAGCAGAATGAACCGCCAATTGTCCAGCATATGTTTTACACAGCGGATGCCATTTTAGCTGCAACCCTGTACTGGGAAACAATACACACTCATTCACACACATACACCATGGCCAATATAGTTTATTCAATTCACCTATACCCCATGTCTTTGGACTGTGGGGGAAACCGGAGCACTCAGAGGAAACCCACACAATCACGAGGAGAACATGCAAACTTCACACGGACATGCCAACTGGTCTAGCCGAGACTCAAACCAGCAACCTTCTTGCTGTGAGGCGACAGTGCTAACCACTGAGCCACCGTGTCGCCCCTGAATTCTTTAAATGTAGGTAAAAAGTTTTTATCTAGAGCTATTTCCTTGTGATAGGACCTCTTTAAAACATCCAATATTTGTGTTGAACATTATGAAGAAGAACAGAGGACGAAAGTAAATGATAGACCCACAGACTTGACATGAATCAGGAAACATGCGTCAAACAGTGATATGAATGTTTATTAGGAGTCATTTGACTCCTCTTGAAGTTCTACGTGCTGAAACAGCCTTGCTTTTGGAGAACGTAATTTGAGGAGCTTTCTAAAGAGAAAAGGAGATTTGGTGTATCTATACTTGGCTTTTTTGATCCACGAGAGCTGACGGCTGCAAAATATTCTGCTCTCCCACTTTTGACTTTGGGATGTTGGGAGGAAGGGTCTGTGGTCTGAGTGGCTTGTTTCTGGACGTTCCTGTCTGGAACGGTGGGACTCTGAAGGTTGCAAGTAACTGAGGAGATACTCACTGCTGCTCCTCTTTGGGGAAAGGGTGTCACCATTGAGGGAGTTGGAAGCAGATTCCTCCGAGCCCTGCGAACCCATGAAGGAACCGTTGTCGTGACAGCGCAGGTCATCCAGACCCTCACATGACTCGGAGCCAAGCTGAGGAGAGGACGAACGGACATGTTCTTGATCACGAGACTTGGTCTTCATCAGCTTCCTCATCTTCAGTGTTATCCAGTTCCCCCGTCTGTTTGGAGAGTGTTTGCATGATAAATCCAGGAACATTGATTTTTTTATTGTGTTAAGATCATTTAAGGAGACTGTACCTGCGTGGAGGTGACGGGTCATAGAACTTGTACTGGTCCATGATTTTCTCCTCCAGTTTCTCCTTCTGCCTTCTGAGCTCATTCAGCTTGTCTCTGTCAAAATTGCAGTTCAGTGTACACTTAAAATAAATTGTTGGTTGCTTGTTCAAACTATTTATTTAAAATAAGCGGAAACAACACAATTCTTGAGATTTTGTTGGGACAACTTAATTGTTTTATGTTCAATCCACTTAAATTTGTTAACTTCTAACAAAAAAAGTTAACTACTTGTTGTCTCAATATAATCAATTGTGTGGAACCCAGCATTTTTTAAAGTGTAGAACAGTGTGAAAAATGTTGGGTTTCACATAATTCCTTCATGTTGTCTTAACACAAATCAATTAAGATAACTTAAGTGTATTATGTTCCCAGAGATGGGTTGTGGCTAGAAGGGCATCCGCTGCATAAAAACTTGCTAGATGAGTTAGCGGTTCATTCTGCTGTGGCGACCCCTGATTAATGTAGGGGCTAAGCCGACAAGAAAATGAATGAATGAATTATTGTATTATGTTCAATCCACTAAAATTTGTAAAAACCAGTAAAAACCATTAAAAACCACTGTCCCAAAAACATTAGGAATAGTTGTTTATCCAGCCCAAGCTCATTCTGAAAATGTACCCCTATTTACATTTCTGGACTGCGCCTAATACGTCCAAGGAGCTAAGTTTTTTTGCAATTTTAGTTTTTCGCAAATCCACCAGAGGTCGCTGTATACACTTTTTGAGATCCCAAATTTCTCTTGCGAGTGCCTTTCGTGCCTGCTGTTCTCGTGTAAATCCACCAGAGGCTGCTGTCGACTGACTGACTGACCAATCGACTGACCCACCCTCCTCCTTCCCTAAACCCAAATGACAGTGTTTTTAAAAGCAATCCAGAAAAAGAAAAGCCCTCTAAGCAGCCTGATTTTTCCATTTTCAGATTTTACCACATTCTCACCCTATTTACTTGTTAATTTTTATTTTTGGCTTTTGTTTTTGTCTTACCTGCGTTCTGAAACCGTTCTTCGCCGGACTCGAACCCTGTCGTCGTGGTCAACGCATGGATAAACCGTGCTATTCACGCACAAATAGATATTTGAACATTTTGAGTTTACTCGCATCTAATCTGCTTCATTCGCGCATCAAATTCACTGAGCAACAGACTTGGATTTGTATCATGTGTGGGGCTTCTGTCTGCCTGGTGACTCTAGCTTCGTTGCTAAATGGCTAACATGGATTGTATTGAGAGAATAAATTTGTATATGTGCTTTATTATGGCTGATAAAGAGCGTTGTTTCGTTTTGAGCTGTGTCTGAGTCCACTAGATCCTTTCTGAGGTGCACCCAGCTCTGTGAGTTCATAAACTCTTCCAGAAACTATACCTGGATAATGGAAGCTTTCAGCGTTGCTTCTGACTGAGCCAAGCCCAGTTTGATGAACTGTTGTCCGGTATGGGCAGGAGGATTTCCCACTGGGATATCAACAACTAGTGCTATGTCATAAGCATGCCCCTATAAGTGAAAACTCCTGATTGGTTAATGCGGCGCAAAAGTCTGCTGAAGTTCAGATTTTCCAACACGAGCAATTCGTGTGAAATGCACGTTAAGCGCATCAATTGCGCAAAACGCTCAACTTCATTCGTGTGTATCGCGTCACAGGATGTCTATTCGCGCCATTGCATTGACTTAATATCCTCCCTACAGCGTTCGTTTTAAAGACAAAATACAGCCATACGCACTTTTGGCTACATAATTAATGATCCCCAGAAATGTACATAGGATACGTTTTCAGAATGAGCTTATGTTTTTTTTTTCAACGGAGTCATTTGAATGAGCACCAAAATTATTTTTTGAGTGAACTTACATACAAAGAGCATCTTAATATGCTATAAAGCAGCAGATCTCAACCGTTTGACTCATTTTGTTCAACAATGTCTACAACAATACATAAACACTAATGAATTGTACAGTGGTTTGTGCCCTAGTGAATGTTTTTAGCAAATACTTCAAATCTCAAAATACACTGTTTTACCTTGACCAAGTAAAAGATAAACCAGTGATACTTTGTAAAATGCATATCCCATTCTAAGTATTTGATCAATATTTTGAATCATTATTATTATTGTTAAACTTTTTAGTAATTTAATTTGTGGTTTTGTTATTTTTTGTTATTTTTTTTGCATTTGCCTATATTGTTTTTATAAATTTTGCATTCAAGTTTTAGTAATAAAAACTAAAGATCTCACAATGCAGTGGTGTTGCTAGGCATAAAGCTCTATTGGGACACAGTTCCCCTCCAAAAAAAAAAAAAAAAAAAGAAAAAAAAATATATAATTATAAATAAATAACAGTAATTGATACTAAATGTAACTGGAAAACAATCGAAAGACACAACTGTGATGCAAAGATAATTTAAGAACTCTTTTGCATGAATATTAATTTTACTCAAATGAAATTTTATAGACAATTCAATAGAATACAAAAACTAAGTATATGTTTTATAGAATTGTCAGTTGTGTGTTGTCCTAGACCCGACTCATGGCCAAGAATTAGATTTATTAAGTCTAACCTCACTCAATTATCATCCCTCCTTTTTGCTTCATACAAAAAAAAAAAAAAAACTATGATGAGCCATGTTAAGTCTAAATAAGATCATCATCAGATCGCCATCATATTATTTAAACTTTGTTTTGTCGACTTGCAAAACTCACCGACACCTCCACATAACAGATTGTTACGCCGGTTTTATAACGCATGATCGGCGCCACTATTTTTTCGGCATGCATGTTTACAACCGAGACTTACACCGGGAGCAGAGCAGTGCGTCAGCATCAAGCAGGTGCGGTGTGTGTGTGGGGCGCGGGTATGTTTATTTCTATTTGATCAACATTTTCAATTCTTTCTGTTGTTAAAGTTGCTCGTAATTTTATACTGTGATCATGCCATTTCTTATGATTATTTTGTATATGTCTATATAAATTTTATACATTTTTATTCTAGTTTTAGTTATTTTAGTACATCCGGTTTTGATTACCTATAATAATAACTGCAAAAACAGTAGTAGAGGGAGTGATTTAAAAAGAAGAATATTAGTTTTAGCATATGTTAATCTAATTTTAAGTCTAAAACAAGACCCCAAGTGGACCCCATTGCCCTATTTTAAAACCAATCATCTTAAGGCATAGTTTAACAGGTTCCTGCATTCATTTTCCTTCGGCTTAGTCCCTTATTTATCAAGGGTCGCCACAGCGGAATGAACTGCCAACTATTCCGGCATATGTTTTACAATGCCCTTTCAGCCACAACCCAGTACTAGGAAAAAGTTAACAGGTTTTAATCAGGTTTTAGCTTTTTTTTTCTTAAATTTGACACTTAAATATTCTAGTTTATTAAAAAAAAAACATCCTTAATGAAATACTGAACTATATCAACTTCAGACCTTTAACACAGAACATATTTTGGACTCTAAAGGCCTCTTGAATTTTAAAGAGTTCATGAACTTGCTAATTCACTGCACAAAACAAATAGTGGTCAACATAATCCATGTTTATCTGAAAGTCAGCCCATATTTACTGTCTTCTGGGTTATATTTTTTGTCCTTGTATAGTTTTGTTTATGGTTTTTTCGGATGTGGGAATGACAAAATTACATGCTTATAAAGACATAAGCATCTTTAAAGTGGCTTGAACCACCTGATAGATTAATTTAAAAACTATTGACTGGATGCACAAACATTGGGTTATTCTAACTATGCATTAGTAACTTCAGTCATTATTTATCTTAACAGTCCTGCAGAGCAGTTGTCTCTCACATATATTGTCGCTGCTCCACATGAAACAGGTCCTTGCTCTCCATAGTCTGATCCAGCAGGGTTCGATTCTGCAGCATCAAGCTCTGGATCTGGTCCAGCAAGTGGCGGTTCTCCTCCTCTACGTTCCCTTTCAGCTGGGACAGCAACTGAGCAAATGCATAAAAACGAGGTGATTCATCGTGGATTTACTTAATCAGTAGCTTTGTTTAGGAAATAAAATTAAATTGATGTCACAACCTTTCCAGTTGCTGCCATCACTAACCAGCTCAGACAATGACAAATTGTATTACACAGTGCTCAAATCACATCTTTTCAATGTTAAAAAAAGTTTTTGGGCTAACCATCCACAACAGAGACATGCAAAATTTCAATTTCAAACAGTTTCTATTTCTGCAATGTTGCGGCTGAACAACAGCTTAAACTACTATGACGCACCTCACACTGGTTGGTCAGTTTGATGATGGAGATCTCCAGCTGCTGGTTGAGATCTTTGAGTTTGGACAGCTCTGATTCCAGCTGTGTCTGCTCCAGTTGGATGGAGTTCAGCTGGCTCTTCATGCTCTTGTGTTCGAGTTGAAGTCCCTCGTTCTCCACCAACAGCTTCTGGTAGGTCTGATTCAGCCTGGGTAAAAGACAAAGCACAGCATTTGGTGCAAATAATCAGAAAAGAGTAGGACTGGAGGAGTATTGTGGAGACTGGATTGTTAATGATGACGCAAAAGAAGGCATTATGAAAAATGCTGGTTGCTGGGACACATTAACTTCCATACTATTTCTTTCCCTATTATATTTGTTTGAGGGGTCCCAGCAACAAGCATTCTTCAACATTTATTCTTTTAATTTCAACAGAAGAAAAAAACTCCTTTACTGCTACTATTTGTCCACATGAATTACAAACTTTGGGTGAACTATCTCTTTCCAACATTAAGTTTACATCCAGCCAAGATCAAAACACTGCTATTGAGCTTTTTTAATATTACACCCTGCAGCATCTTTCCCACAGTTTCTGAAACAGTATGTTCCATGATCTCTTCTTTATAAACCCCTCCTTTTCAACAACCTACTTCAATCTAATTGGTCAGATGGTCCAGTTTCTGATTGGTCTACTCCAGAGACTTCCTCAGCACTTAACAGTGCAGTAGGTGATTGTCTTCTGAAACATTTGTTGTTGTGTTGATGGAAAGTCTCTTCACATTCCAACAGTATTGATTAAAGTAAATGATCTAAATGTTTTCATATGTATTTTAATATTCTGGATAAGGCATAAAACTAAAAAAATTTCATCCAATCAAATATTGTAGGACCGAAAAATAACTCAATTATGACAGGTATCTCAAACTTGTCTCAGCCTCTTTAAGCAAACAGATACGACACTCACATGCACAGGCGAAGCATGGCCACCTACAGCTGAAAGAGAGACATCAGGCGGCAAACTCTGCATCAACCTGAACTTCTATCTGAAAGACCAACGTGGCCTTGTATGCATGAAAAGAAAGATTGTTTCTGAAAGAGTTTTCTGCCAAAAATGCAGAATCAAAACTTTTCTAAACCCTAAATTAATATCCGAGTTACTTTTGCACGCAGGAGGGAAATGACGCTATGCAGTTCAAAACAACGATCTGAAGGGTGACACCACAGCTGAAGTATTTCTTTTAGACAGGTATGTTTTAAAACTATTTTAGTCACGCAAAGCTGATGTAGACTGTGTTCTTGTTGATGAATGGGTTTATATGTACGGAGGTGTTGTTCAGCCGCTGAAAACTTCTGCCAAAAGATTGGCTATTTTCAAGTTAATGGAGTTTTACAGCATCGATAATATAGTTGGTTGAATAGACCTGAGCAATCGTTTAGTTATTCAAGTGTAAAAGGAGCTGAAAACAAGCGATGTAGTTGATAATGAAAAGTCACTTGTTGTCTTGGTAGTATAAACATAAGTGTAACTTTAAAAAATGACTGGATTTTTCTGTTTTCATTCATTCATTTTCTTTTCGGCTTAGTCCCTTTATTAATTTGGGGTCGCTACAGCGGAATGAACCATCAACTTATCCAGCATTTGTTTTTATGCAGCGGATGCCCTTCCAGTTGCAACCCATTACTGGGTAACACATACGCACTCATTCACTATGGACAATTTAGCCAACCCAAATCACCTATAGCACATGTCTTTGGACTGTAGGGGAAACCGGAGCACCTGGAGGAAAAGTCCTGGCTAGGCTGGTTAAGCTAGTTTTAGCTGGTCATCCCCAGCCTGACCTGCTAAGACCAGGCTGGAAATGGCTGGAAACCAGCCTAGAATGGCCAAAAGTTGATGCTGTTTGTGGCCAATAGTTGTGGCCAATGAAGTGCATAAGCATATAATCTGCAACAAACCTACGTTGTTTTATGAAGTAAGTCTGAATTACTGTTCATGTAAAATGGGTTGTATTTCAGAACATCATTCCCTCAGGGCAAACTAACTAAGAGAGGTGTGGTTAAGAAAATTGTGGCCATCAAACTAATGTCAACAGTAAAGGGCCACCGCTCCAAACGCAGAAGCAAATCATCAGATTTTGATAAAAGATTAACGAAACTATTTTTTTACAGTTGATTAATTTGCAAGTATTCATTGTTCACTTAAAGAATAAAAATGTGCACTAGCAAATTAACACAAAATTAACATTTTGATTTCACACACTGGAGAGACTAATTGAAATATTACTCCATATGATCTTTGAAACTACATTCACAAATGGCCATAATACACAATTAACAGTAGTGTCTAAAATAGTATAATTAAACATTTCTGTATAATCTGACAGCTGTTTTCTGAACTTTAATGGACACCAGAGACACAAAACAAGTATGAAAGCACAATTACAGACATATAGACAAGTAATTAGATCACAGACACACACACTGACCAGTCTTTCTCATCTCTGAGTCTTTGGCACTCTGCTGTCACGTTCCTATTTGTGCATATCTCATTCTGCATCTTCTTCTGCTCTTCTCTGAGAGCTTTCTCCAAGCCCTCCAGCTGAGCGCGCTGTTGGAGTAGAGTGTTATACCTGCAATCAGACAGACAAAAACAATGTCAGTTTGATGATGAGGAACGCATTATATTTTCATTCATTAATTCATCTTCTTTCGGCTTAGTCCCTTTATTCATCAGGGGTGGCCACAGTGGAATGAACCGCCAACTTTTCCAGCATATGTTTTACACAGCGGATGCCCTTCCAGCTGCAACCCAGTACTGGGAAACATCCATACACTCTCATTCACACTCATACACTATGAACTATTTAGTTTAGTCAGTTCACCTATAGTGCATATCTTTGGACTGTAGGGAAACCGTAACACTCGGAGAAAACCCACGCCAACATGGGGAGAACATGCAAACTCCACATAGAAATGCCAACTGGCCTAGCAGGGACTTGAACCAGCGATATTCTTGCGGTGAAGTAACAGTGCTAACCACTGCACCACCATGTTGCCATATTATATGTTATCTACTCATATTAACCAGGAACTTGAAAAATGTCTAGCAGTGTGTACTAACCTGTCCTCCAGTGATCTGTGCTCAATCTCCAGGGTCCGGTGGCTGCTCTCCATTGTCGAGTATCTATGGGACAGCACCTCTAATTCTGCTGCCTGCCTCTCATGCAGGACGCTCAATCTCTCGTGGTCCCGGAGAAGCAGCTCATTGACGGTGCGCAGATCTTCTCTCTCCCGCACCGCTCCCTCCCTCTCAGCCTCAGAGCTGTGGCGTTCCCGCTGTAGCTGTGTATTATGAGCCGCCAGAGAGGAATTCTGGGATAATACAGTGGACTTCTCAACCTTTTTTAAAAACAAAAAAAAAAGAAAATACTTTTATTTAGCAAGGAAACTCACAACGCATAAATTATCCATTGATTATCCCCTACTTATAGACTACTTAAGTAGACTACTTATAGACTACTTATTGAATTAATGGATGCTACAAACTCATCGCAGGGATAATTTACATTTTTAAATATATTAAAACAAAACAAAGCACTATATTAGATTTTAGTGGAATTTTAATAAGGAAATGCCAAAAGTAAATATATGAGACTGTAAAAATGAAGACCCCAAACAATTAACCCTCTACTGCACGACGTAACCATATGGTAACATGATACTCATGTTCATTTCCCTGTCACTGTTTCTTTAAGACCAACATTTATTTTTTATTTTTTTTATTGCAAAGAGAAGACCTTAGAGTAACCCATGACATGCTGTGGTTTTCTGTAGCGCAATTTCTGACAGACTGGCGTCTATTGTGAGTAGCTAAATGCAAATGTAAAGGTCAAGAAAAACAAAGGATCAACTCATGTCAGATCCACAAAAAAATCTGAAACATCACCTCCAGTAAGGTATGATGACATGATCACAACTCAAATTTTTTTTAAATCAAGTTAGTTTTTTTGTAAATCGTTCAAATGCATGTGTTACTAAATGGCAACACTGCGCAATAGTGGAACATGCAATACAGCAATGGGTTAGCTAGCTAGCTAGGTCAGCTGTGAACTTTTAAGTTGTAACAATAACAACATGAATGCTAGTAATATAATGTTGATTAGTTGTATCTTAATGGCATTTGCATTTTGGATAAAATCTAGTTTTAAGGGCAAGACTACTTTTGAATAGATATCAACACAGGGAACGGTGTATTAGCGAGCACCACCATGTTCTATGGTAATTTAAAGAAGAAAAGGACAGAACTGGGGCTCTTCCTGCAGATGAAAGTGAGGATGAGATGGGTTTTAGTGACCATGAGAATGATGCAGACTGGACATTTGATAGAGACAGTTCAGGTAATAAGCTCAGAGGCAGATAAGACAGGCGTAGTATAGTATATAGTATAATTAATACAAACATTGTTAGCTAGTAGCTACATTATTCTGATGCATCTGGATATACTAGACTTGTTATTTATTTGTTATATTTACTGTAGAAAATATTTATATTTACTGTATGTTGTATACATGATAATACAATATTATGATTGTTTTCAATAATATTCAGCAAAAAAGAATGGAATAAATGAAAGCAGTTGGAATACGAGTTGTGGTAAAGTATGTAAAAGGTGTTATTTATAAGTTTTTTGTTAAAGCTCATAATGCTGTGATAATTAAAGCCCATAATTATTTCAAACAAAAACATGATTAATTGTCAGTGCAATAGCCTAGTGGTTAGCGCATCGACATATGGTGCAAAAGCACGTCAGGGCGTTGTGAGTTTGAATCCCGGCTCGAGCACATTTCCCTACCCCCTCTCTCTCCCACTTCGTTTCCTGTCTCAATACTGTCCTATCTAAAAAGGCCAAAAAAAAAAAAAAGGTTTAATTATAAGGAAATTTTTACATTTGAAATTTCTAAGGTAGATCCACTGTTGGACGTTGTTGCCACATGGCAACTGTTAGGACTGCGTTGTTTTGTTTGTGTGTTTGATTTTGATTCCAGATTGGGGGCGTGCCTTCAGCGCACCTGATGCTGGTCAGCGCCCTTATTTAAACCCCGGCAGAGAGTTTGTCGGGGCCGCTGTCCATTCACTTGGCAGTTGGCCAGAGCCGCGCTCTTATTTGGCCTTTATGCTTTGTTTCGCATCCATACATTATCACTGACAACATTTACAGCATCCATACATTTGCATTTCACACTGATTGAACATACTGATACTGATATTTTGATTATATAATTTATATTGAGCTTAATAAATATTCTTTTTGATTATACTTCTCCTTGTCGTCTCCCTCATTATGTTACATCCTTGAGCCAGGTATAACAGCAACATTTCATAAAGTACCTTAAAAAATATTTTTTCCAAACTTTATTTTTTTCAGCACTTCAAGTGAAGCCATTTTAAGAAAAGAAAAACAGTCAATTTTTTTTTAACAGGTTTATCATAATGCGCGCGATAGAGGGTTAAACAGTAATGTGTATATGTTTTTATCACATTTTAAATCTTACCATTGCATGTAAGGTAATACTTTAATACTTCCAGTTCAGCAACTCACCTGCAGCTGTGCATTGTGTGTCTGAAGTGCGGTGTTGTTCTCCTGCAATGACGCTGTCTGCTGTTGTAACACAATTATTTGTGCCTGCAACCCATCTGACTGCGTCTGTAAAGTCTGTAGTTGAGTCTGCAATGCCTGTTTTTCAGCCTGCAATGTTGCATTCTGAACAAAACAAAACAAGGCAGATTTGTATAAAACTTGAATGTAATGTATATGTTAAGTAAGCAATATCTATTTATTTAGCAACTTTCAAGAGCAAAAGGCCACACAGTGCTTTACAACAACATTGCAGGATAAAAACCATAAAACCTTACAAATACATACGTAGAGCAGAAATTAAACAAAAGCAAGTGTGAATAGATGAGGTTTCAGTTGCTGTTTGATTGTCCGTAAATCTCAATTTCAGTGGAAGAGCATTCCAGAACTTGCAGATTTTAAAGTTATGAAGACTCTTAGCATGAAGAAAGAAAACTCTCCATAAGATCTGTTAGGTGGACTCACATTTCTCTCCACTTCAATGACTCGATCTTTGACTTTGAGCAATGCCCAAGTGGCCTCCTGACTTTCTCTGTGCCACATCCTCTCTGGTGGAGAGCACTGGCCTGGCTTTTCCTCTTCATCCTTCTGAAGCATCGCCTCATAGTTCTGCTTGACCTTCAACAGTTCAATAACACATCATATTTTTCTTATGTTTAGGAGACACAGTGTGCATTATTGCAGTCATTTCTGTGAAAAGTGCAATTTTATGAACAAAAAATGTCAACTCCTTTTTGTCGAGTAGCTATATCCCAGATCCAAGAATTTTATGCTAACATTCCCATTAAGTTAAAAAAAAAAGTTATTAATGTTCAAATTGTACATTATTAACAAATATTATACATTTTTGTTCTTGGTTTTGTGAATATACATTACAATGTATGACTTTGCAACATTATTGGAATGTTCTTTTATTGTTCTTTAGGAAATGTTAGCCATATATCAAACAAAACATTACTAACTAACCAATAAAAATGTGTCATAAAAATATTTGTTCATAGTCAAGGTTCTGAGAATGAACACAATGCAGTTATCATATCAGCACAAACAAATCTCTAAATATGCATTTTTTTGACCAACTAGACTGATTTTAATAACAATTTTGGTAAGATATTTATAGCCTTGATTTTATATATTATAAAAATGTAATCATTTAATTTAAAGTTTATATATTAAAAAATGTACTCATTTATGTATTTTATTTTAATTCTTTTTTTAAAAATGTTTTTTATTGTAGAAAAACACTGAAATTTAGCATGAAAATACACTTTTTTACATTTTTTATTTTAATTCTTTATTGTTTATTTATTTATTATTTATATTATATATTTATATGTATACCATATATTTATATTTATATTGAATTTATATTTTACCTTTATTGGTTGTAATATATGTTAGCATAACATCCCATTCCTATTCAAGTATTTTAGCAAAATGGATAAATATTTAAAACAAATATAATATATAATATATAAATTTATTTTATATATTAAAAATTGTAATTATTTATTTATTTTATTTAATTAAAAATTCTTTATTCATTCTTTATTTATTATTATTATTACTTCTTTTTTGTGAAATGAGAATTTATGTATTACTGTTATTGGTTTTAATATATGTTAGTAAAAAACACCCCATTCCCATTTAAGCATGATAGCAAAATGGCTAAATATATCAATTATATATAATATATACATTTATTTTATTTATTATAAAATGTAACTATTTAATTATTATTATATAATTATTAATTCATTATTATTAATTTATTTATTATTATTTACAAAAGTTTTTTTTATTTAGGGTATATAGATATAATTGTGAAACGTGAATTTATATATTACCTTTACTGGTTTTAAAATGTTAGTAAAATCAATTCCCTTTTAAGCATGTTAGTAAACAAACAATGTTTTGCTTTGGACTTGGACTCGGCTCACAGTTTTGAGATCCTGTCGCAGTTGCTGGTTTATCTTGGCCGATTCTTGCAGACGGGCCTCCAGAGTAGCCATTCTCTCTTTCTTAATCTTCAGGGATTTCATTAGTGAAGACTCCAGCTCTGACTCCAACTGCTTACACTGACTGTAAGTGCAAGAAAGAGCAATGGAGACAAAGCCAGTGGTGGCCATCAGACGTTTAAATACGATTACTGAATTTATAAGAGAATATCTAGTAGATCTATATACCCTTGATCTACAGCCTCGTGATCTCCCATTCGTGTCTCCTGGTTCAACCTCATCCTCTCTAGTTCATAGATGTACTTCTCAACATCACATTCTTTCTGTTGAAGTTTCAGCCTCTGATCCAGAAGCTCCTAGCAAAACGTAAAACTGTAAGATGAACATTGAGAAAATGTGTAATACAATAAAAAAGCTTTCATTGCAATAGTAACCTCTCTCAATGTGATCAGCATCCTCTTGTCCACTCCAGCCTGTTGAATCAGCTCTTGGTTGTCCTTCTCCAGCTCTTTGTACTTCGCACAGGCCTCACTAAGGTTGGATATCTTTTTAACCAAGGTACGGTTCTCCTTCTCCACCACTGCGATTTTCAAACTGCTACTATCTAATGAGGCCTCCTGGATCTTCACTTGTTGCCGCAATCTCCGGTTCTCCTTCTCCAGGGAACTCTTATCTTGCTCCAGATATCCATTCTCATGCGTTATACTTTGGTTTTGAATATCTGCTTGTGCATCATTATGGTTATAACTGACTTGACTTTGGTTCACTGCTTCTAATTCGTGAAGCTCCACTTCAAGACAAGGAAGATTGCCGTTAGCATTTTCCAAGGATGCATGCTTATGTTCTGTGTCAAGAAACTGATTGCTGGTCCGCTGGGTTGGTGTGGTCATTTGGCCATTTTGCATGTTGGCAAATGCTGGAGTAGATTTGTAAGTCTCACAGTCAACTATATCCGTTCTTCCCTTTCCTTGAATGTGATTAGATTGAGAAACGAACTCATTCAGTGGTTCACATGTTCCCTGAAGTTCTTCAAGGGCTTTCAGCAACCTCTGGTTCTCTTTCTCCAGCTTCAGCAACCTGCTACAGGTCTTTTCATTTACTTCCTGGCTCAAAGACTTTAACTCTAAAAGAATAAACACAATTTAGGATCACCCAAGTTAAAGGAATTTACAAATTTCTGCAAGCTAACATGTTTCTAGCCAGCAGTTTGTTTGAAAGCTTGGTGTTGAGCAGGGTTGCAATATACAGGGGTGGTTCACTGTTGTGGGGGGTGGGGAGTTGGGTTGGAGTTAATGATTTGAATTTTAAATTGATGCCCCCATAATGGTGCATACCATTGCCAATGCATAATCAGGGAACAGCAGGGATGCAGGAAAATATTTAGTAGTTGTTCTGAAACAGGCAAATCTAACCCAGTGAAAGACTAAATGTGTTAAAAAGACACTTTTTCTTGTAAATCAGGAGTTTGTATCTGCATATAGCCTAAACGTGGTCAAATAAATAATGTGAATTGTAATTAACCGGTCCTCTTTAAAGATGTGGTCCACTATTATATCATATTTTAAACTTTAGTTGATGTGTAATGTAGATGTGTAAACATAAACAACATCTAAGACGCTCAAAATTCAATGCATAGGGAGACATTAGCATCGTCTCAAATGGCACACTATACACTATGCACTATGTACTTATGCACTTACACACTCAACAGCATAGTATATGTATGTAGAGTCATCCCAAATGGAGCACTAATGTTTTTTTTTTATTCAAACCGTTTTCCCTGATGATGTTTGACGGTTGCCAAATCAGTGAAATAAATGACCAAACTATCAAATAATACCTGCCATGAGTATTATTAAATTTCCATGAGGAAATTTTGGGTGAACTATTCAATTTAATTGACAGGGTGTTAATATATAAGTATACCTGTTGCTGAATTCTGTTGAGGACTCTTGGCCAGTTCCAGCTCCCAACCCAAACGCTGCGATTCCTCCATACTCCTTTTCTGAGAGAGCTCCAGTATGACGTTCCTTTCCATCAGCTCCTCTATTTGCCTCCTGTTTGCAGTTCTTTCCTAAAACACATTAGACAGCCAAGTCAAGCTTACATATAAAAAAAAACTGGAAAAAAACAAACAAAAACAAAATAATAACAAACTATCCTATATAGTAATAGTATATACAAAGAGCTTAGAATGACCAAGAGGCGACACTCATTAGAACGTTCTATTGCAACAGCAGCGCCCAGCAACATCCCAGGATTCCGCCATTTTGGAGTGAAAGCGATCGGCTGTCCATTCGATCTTATAGCTGTCGCGATGGCAAGCAGCTGCTTTGTTTTTTATTCATTTATTTAAAAAGCGCATTAAAGCTGAGATACAACCTGAAAGACGACAATACAACACTTACTAACACAATCATCAGCACTTTTAATAGTTTATTTTACAGACTTGTTATATGCTGTTGTTCTATTGTAATTTTCATTCCAAAATGGCCGCTGCACCATCTAGTGGCTGTTTCCCAAATTGCACTAGAGTGTCGCCTCTTGGTGATTCTATGCTCTTTGATGTATATATAAGCAAGTTCTATATATAAGTCAGATGATTGGCTGGGCCATTCTACAGCTTGATTTTCTTTCTTTAAAAGAATTTGAGAGTTTCACTTGGCTGTGTTTTGGATCATTGTCTTGCTGAAATGTCCATCTTCATCATCCTGCTAATGTAGACGTTGGACTGAAGCAGCTAATATTCATTTACAATGATGAAGGGGAGAGGGTTGTTAAAGAACTACTGAGAGATTTCAGCTGCTGTCTGGGCTTTCACTACTTATCTACACCTCCCTTTCTTCATGTGTTCAATACTTTTTCGCTGTGTCATTTTATTTTATTACACATAACTTTATTTGTAAACTAATTTATTTTGTTTTCTTTGCATACATGGATTTCTTTGGTTGTTTCAACATCCGTTGAAAATTTCAAGTCAACAGCACTTTTAGAAATATGTTTTCTGAAAGAAAAAAAAAGGTTATGTGTTCAATACTTATTTCCCCAACTGTATCTCATGTATATGTATTTCCTCTTCCTCACCTCTTCCATGTCATGAAGTTTTGCCTCTAGTAGGAGGTTGTGTTTCTCCAGAGGCTGCAGTTTGTCAGAGCGTGTTTTGATGCTCTGCAGCTGTTCTTCAAGCATGGCTTTACTTTCCATCAACACCTGATTATCCTCCTTTAATTCCTGACAAAAAAAAAAAAAATGTAGGTGAGATTTCTCACTGATATACATCTAGTATACATACAGTACTGTACACAAAAGTTCACAAGTATGATTTTTTATTAGTACAATTTTAAATAAATACTGTTCTTCTGAACTTGACATTGAACAAAGCATCCTAAAAGACCATGATAATATTTGTTTGTTTTTTGAGCACCAAATAATTCATTCATAATCCACATAATTCATTCATGTTGACCCAACACAAATCAAGTTGACATTACTTTTTACAAATTTATGTGGACTGAACATAAAAAAATTAAGTTGCCCCAATGAAATCTCAAGAATTGTGTTGTTTCAGCTCATTTTAATTAAGTAGTTTGAAAAAACAAAAAATAAAAAAATAATTTTGAGTGTGACCCTGGACCACAAAATTTTATATTGCATGTTATTTTTTCAGGGAAACAGTCAAACATAGTTAAAATTATAGATATTTTCAACTGCATTGTCTCTTTGTATCTTTTATGCCAGAATTAGAATATTATGTAAAGATCATGCTGTAAGTGTATATTTTGTACATTTCCTTCTGTAAAACTATCAAAACCTTTTTTTTTAATAGCATGAATGAAATTTGCCAAAACCGACAACATTGCAGGTGATTTGCTGTGTATTTTCATATTATTTAAACTTCAGATTTTAGATTCTCAGTCAAATATTATCCTATCCTAACAAACCATACATCAACGCAAAGCTCATTTATTCAGTTTCATGTGTTGTAAAAAAAAAATCACAGTAATCAAAAATGTACGTTTATGACTACTTTTGTGATTCAGGGTCACATTTGAATGAGGACTAAAGAGAAAATATCTGATTTTCCTAATTTCCATAACTTGCCTAATTAACCTAGTTAAGCTATTAAATGTCACTTTAAGCTGAATACTAGTATCTTGAAAAATATCTGTTAAAATATTATGCACTGTCATCATGATAAAGATAAAATAAATCAGTTATTAGAAATGAGATATTAAAACTATTATGTTTAGAAATGTGTTTCCATTAAACAGAAATTGGGAAAAAAATATACAGGGGGTCTAATAAATAAGGTGGCCTAATAATTCTGACTTCAACTGTATACACACCTCCAGTTTTGCTTTGTAAAAGTTCATGTTGTGAAGTTTATCTCGATAGCGAGTCACTTCACTCTCCAGTTTGTCTGCTCTGATGGCTCTCTCTTTCATGGTATCCAGCTCATCACGATACATCCTGGCTGCTCGTGCATCTGTTAACAGCTGCATGTTCTGCCACAGGCCCCAGAAGCAGACGAGACAGAGAGAACAAACAAAATCCCATTAAAATAACAACAATTTATTTATATAATATAAGCAAAAACAGCACAGCAGAATTAGACAGATCTTTAGAAAATAAAAGAGCATTCAGTAAAAAAAATAATGGCCACACTTTACAATAAGGTTTCATTAGTTAATGTATTACTAACACGGATAAATAATAAACAATACTTGTGCAGCATTTATTAATCATAATTCAACATTTACAAATGCATTAACATCCAATGTTTGTTAATGCACTGTGAGTTAACATATACAAACAAAGAATGTGTTAGTATATATGTTAGAGTTCGAATGTGAACTGTGTTTTCATTAACTAACATTAACAAACATTAATAAAAGCTGTAATAAATGTATTGTTTAATGCACTGATGTAATTGGTTGTTAGTAAATGCATTGATTAATATGAACTGATACAACCCTATTGTAAAATGTTACCATAATAATAATAACAAAATGTAGTAAAATTGGAATCTTTTATTATTTTCAGTGCCTCTTGCTGAAGTCTTTTAAGCTCGGCCTCCACACTGTCCAGATCCTGCCTGGAGTCCAAGAACTGCTCACTTTTCTCTTCTCTGTTGAGACAAAGGAAACAGCTGTTTAAAGATTATATATTCACACAGGTTCAAAAAGTTATATATATATATAAAAGAAAAAATACATATATATATATATATATATAGCCTAAAATAATAATAATAATAGTAGTAATAAATAAATTAAATATTTATAATAAATGGAAAAATATATAGATGAATAAATAGATAAATAAAAAAATATATAAATAAATAAATATATAGATCAATAGATCAATACATATAAATAAATAGATTAATATATATATATATATATAATATATACACACACAAATAAATAAATAAATTATTAGATAGATAAAAAATATATAAATACATATAAATAAATAAATAAATAGATAGATTAATAGATAGATAAATATAAATACATATAAATAAATAATAAATAAACAAATAAACAGATTAATAGATAGATATCTATTAATCCTATGAATACATCCTATAAATACAAACCTATAAATACATTTAAATAAATGGATAGATAGATAGATAAATATATAGATTAATAGATAAAATTAAATAAAACAAATACATAAATAAAATAAATAAAAAAATAAATAATAAATAAATAATAAATAATAATAAAAAAGCAGAACCTCAATGACATAAAACTTGACATGAAAAATAAAAACAGCACAATGAGCTTTGGAAAATATTTAATGTGCATCTGTATTAGAAATAAATATAAAAGCATTTTTTGTCACTCAATGAATGAAATAAACATCAAGCATGTACTAAAATAAACTAGAGTTGTCCAAACACATTTCTCATTTTCATTTAGTTTAATCTATTGTACTAAAATAACTAATTCTCAATATGTTTTAGTAGTTCTTTAAAGTGATATAGACAGAGAAAAATAATTAAGCAACAAAATTACTTAAACCTAAATAAAAAGAGCACAATATTTAAAAAAAGGACTTAATGTAACTTTAAAAAGTATCAGATGATGGAAAACAACACTGCTATCAGGGATAATGTTTCATTAAAGACACTTTCTGTTCTCAACATACTGTGAACATGCACTTGTCTGCAAAAAAATAAAGGCAGAGAATCAAATTGCATACTAAAATGTTAAGAGCCACCAAAATTAGACATTGTGTTATTCTTAAATGACTGTTCAGATTTCAGAATTTAGACTGTTACCAAATCTATTACTGATCCAATATTGTTTAATTTAAATTTGATTTAAAAACCTAACATGACAAAAAAAATGTTGTATCAAGATATAAAATCAACTATTTTCACTAAAATAAAGCTGAATAACAAAGTTCACATCCCACATTCACTTTAAACCATAAAGCTGAGCTGCTTTGTTCAGACTTGCTGCTCGAGGATACACTCCAAAAGAGAAGCTGAAGAATGCAGCAGTATAAGCAGTATTGTACAGCAGATTTGTGGATGGATGGGAAAAAATGGATGGATAGAAGGATAGATGGGTGGAAATGTGGGGGTTGACTGTCTGTAGCATTAAACTAAGAGGATCAAAGTGGGTCAGCAGAATAAGGACGGACCCTGCACTGTGCCAGGATCTATTTAATCTGGGGCAAGCTTCCTACAGACATCTTACTCTTACCACAGATTCAGATATTACAGGATATCCAGCGCACCATATTTAGGTAAATCAAATGATAAAGTCATATTCAGGATGACATTTGAGTGCAACTCTTAGAAGTGCTATATATGATATTTGCTTTCCATATTATTATGGGTATTAAATGTTAATACAACATTGTTAACATGTTAACAAATGTTAACATAAACATTGAATCTCTTTGTAGGTCTTATTGCTTTTGCCGGTCTCAGTTGCCACCTTGGACCAAAAAAATAAATAAAATAAAATAAAATAAAATAAAATAAAATAAAATAAAATAAAATAAAATAAAATAAAATAAAATAAAATAAAATAAAATAAAATAAAATAAATAAAATAAAATTAAATTAAATTAAATGATTGCATTTACGGTTATCAGTTGCCACCTCAGAATAAATAAATAAATAAATAAATAAATAAATAAATAAATAAATAAATAAAAATAAAAGCAAAAGCAAAAGCAAAAGCAAAAGCAAAAACAAAATATTAAATTAAATTAAATTAAATTAAATTAAATTAAATTAAATTAAATTAAATTAAATTAAATTAAATTAAATTAAATTAAATTAAATTAAATTAAATTAAATTAATTATTGCGTCTACAGTTCTCAGTTGTCACCTTGGACAAAAATGTAAATAAAATAAAATAAAATAAAATAAAATAAAATAAAATTAAATAAAATAAAATAAAATAAAATAAAAATTATTGCCTCTATGGTTTTCAGTTGACATCTTGGACAAAAAAAACATAAAAAAATAAAAAATGTATTAAATAAAATTAAATAATTGTATAAAAATAAATTAAAAATAAATTAAATTAAATTAATATAAATCGGGACCAACACTATATTGTCCTTTTTTACACTACAAAGCAATATTGCTTACTAAATATATTTGTTTTATTTTAGTTTAATTATCTAAACATTCTCAAAATCAAGACACGACTATTTCAAAATAACATCAATATAAGATAAAATCCTGTTTTCTGAAAAGATTTGTCAAAAGTAAATGAGTTTATAAACGAAAAAAGTGAATCATTTTTAGCCAAAGTTTACTTTTCTTAGCCCACTGGCAGATATTTACATAACTTGTCAATTGAAATAAATGCTTGTTTTGAGCATTGACACATTTAATTAGATATTTTACAAAACACTTGACAATAAGGTTTCATCAGTTAATGTATTTTCTAACATGACAAAACAAACAATACATTAATTACAGTATATAATAATTGTTCATAAATTTAGTTCAAGAAAATACGTTGTTACTTCTTGTTAGCGCACGGTGCAGAAACTAATGGTGACAAACACAACTTTGGATTGTAATAATGCATTAGTAAATGTTGAAATATGATTAATAAATGCTGTACAAGTATTGTTTTTTTCTTAGTTCATGCCAGTTAACCAATTAACTTACAGTAATTAACACCATTAACTAACAAAAACTAATGGAACCCTATTGTAAAAAGCCCCCCAAGTAAACACGTCTTAGTTTTAAACTGTTTAATTATTGAGAATAACAAAAAGACAACAGGAGATGGCTTGATAAGTGCCGTGTTCTTGCTTGTGTTGACATATTTCCATATGAAACAGGAAGTCACAAAATAATAACACTCTCATAAAATTACAAATTGCTTTGCTGAGATAGTAACTGTGTGTGTATGTGTATGTGTATGTGTGTGTGTGTGTGTGTGTGTGTGTGTGTGTGTGTGTGAGTGTGCGTGCATTTCAGCTCACAGCTCCTGTCTGAGGCGTTTGATCTTGGCTTTAGCGTGGGTCAGCTCTAGTGCCAGATGCTGCTGGGATAAAGGGAGTCTGCTGCTTTCGGGCTCTGAGAGAGACGAGTCACTCCCAAACACTGCAGACTTCATCATCTCTTTCCCCTGCATCAGCTCCACGATGGCCTACAAGCAGAGAAAGAGAGGGATTCAAGTGAGAGAACTGTTCTGGCTTGGTGGTGTAAAGTAACAAATTGCAAATACTCAAACTACTGTAATTGAGTAGTTTTTCTGAGGTCTTGTCCTTTTCTAAGTAGTAAAAATGTGTACTTTTACTTTCCCTTTAATACATGTTTAGTGCTGTATTGGTACTCCACTACTTTCCTTCCACCTGCAGTTACTACTTTATTTCTCCTTGTCTACGGGGATTAGAAAAATCAGTCCTGTGATTTCAATCAAATCACACAGAGAAGGTAAATCACATCATCATGAACTACCTCAAGACATAGGTGCTTTATAACGGCAGCAAACTGTTTGAAAGCATTAAAAGTGTGCAAAATGTTTACACGCAATGACCCAGAGACTGTTTAGAAGCATTTCACTGATAAAAAGATGACGGATGTTTACTGTATGATTACCAAATTGCCCTTTAACACCCAGCCATCCCTAATAAATAAATGGTTGGCATGCCTGATGAAAAAATCTCAGCATTTGATGTTAATATGATGTTAGTTTCAGATGTTGGCTCGACGTTGGATTTTGGTCACTTTCTAATAACCCAAAATCAACCAAATATCAACGTCATTTGATGTTGTTATTGGACATCAAAATAACGTTGTCCTTAGACGCTGGCTAGACTTGAATTTTGGTCACCTGACATCACAACCTAAATCTAGGCTTTAGTTTATGTGCTTTTAAATGTGCATTTTTCATTCAATGTTTGACGTAATCTCAACTGAAAAATGATGAGAGGGCGGTACATCGTGTAGCTCCTCCCATTTTTAATGCAGCCAATCGTGTTTTGTTTTTTATCACCACTCTGCCAGTGAGAGTGATTGAGCTCAAGCGCATCAAATGAAAGCATGAGAAGTGTCTTGTCAGATACTAGAGAGCATTTGATTAGTCAAGCTTTGATTTGAAACTGAAGTTTGAGGTGATGTGAAAATATTGTTGATCCATTTAGGAAGTTCTGAAAATGTTATTCATGAACATTCACAAAACATTCAACATTTTTAGGAGTTAAAAAAACTTTTTGTGTTAAACATTTAGCCAACAATATGACAAATGTAGCGTTTTAAAGTTTTTTTCTGCATATTTTGAAAAATGATGCAAAGTAAAAATAAAAATATGCGGATAAATCTGTCAGAACAAAGTAGAATGAATACTTTTTGCTTACATTTTGAAACATTTATATGGCAAGGCAAGTTTATTTATATAGCACATTTCATACACAGTGGCAATTCAAAGTGCTTTACATAAACAAGAATAAAAGAGACAAGTGTAAGAAAATGATAACAAATAATAAAAATAAAAATTATATATTTTTTTTTAAATAGATAAAACAGATAAAAATGTGCTAAAATGTTATAAGATAATGAAAAAGAAAAAAAAAAACATAATAGTGCGATTTGTCGGATGTAGCACAGTGCTCATTCAGTAAAGGCACAGCTAAACAGATGTTTTTCAGTCTTGATTTGAACATGCCTAATGTGGGAGCACATCTGATCATTTCTGGAAGCTGATTCCAGCAGCGAGGAGCATAGTTGCTGAAAGCTAATTCACTCTGCTTTGACTGAACTCTTGGAACTTCTAGTTTATATGATCCTAAAGATCTGAGTAACAGTAATCCACCCTGCTGCTAATAAAAGCATGAACAAGTTTTTCTAAGTCTAAATATGGCTAAATAACATGATAGAAATGTTACCAGAAAAACATTTATTCATTATTTTGCAAGAACCTTGTCAGATGGTTAGCCAGAAACCTATTTAAAACTGGGTGATTATTCCTGAGAAAAGTGGGGGGACTTTTGAAGATACCTCAAATTGGCGGTCTCGCTGGTCCACTAACATTTTGAGATTAACGGACAAACTTCTGCAGAGGTTTTCCCATTCTTCCGGACACAGTCCCTCCATCTCCAACCAGTGCAGATCAAACACATTCTCCTGACAGTGAGTTACCTGGAGTAGAATAAAAATGGTCCAATTAGCATTTACCTACTGCTTGATTCAAATGGCAAAAACACACATAATAGATATGTTTCATGCTGTTCATAAACTTTAAACAAAGTCAATTCTGATATGTTATCTTTTAAAAACATTAGACACATTGGGTACATTCCAAATCACATACTTATGCATTATTCTAGGACATTTTGTAGTATAAATAGTGTGTGCATTCACAATGAAAACTCTAAATTCTCAAATACAGAAGGGGGAGGAGCTATCAGGCATTTAGGTTGGATTTAAACATTTATTTTAGATAGTTAAAGCAAAACTGGTGAAAAAAAGGTGTATATGGTTGTATTCATGATAGATTGGAAATGTATTTTCTTAATTTATGAAATGTTGCCCGGGAAAATTTCTGTATAGTAAATAAAAAGTTAGTACTCCATTTGGGATAGCACTAAACTCTACACTACATGGCTGAGTGTGCATAGTGTATAGTGTGTGATTTGGGATGCAACTTATGTGTTTATGGGTGACTTGTGTTAAATTATTCTTGGCATTTTTACAGCATTTTAGAAGTCTAATCAAATTATATCACTATAGTGATAATCTGAGCCATGTTTTTCAAGCAACAGTGTCTTAGTGGGTTTTCTTCCAGTACCTCTTGGATTTGAGCTGCGATTTCTGCTTTTGTGTCAAAATCAAGATTTTGGATCTTCTCAATATATTCCTCTTTTCTTTCGCACTGTAAAAACAGCAACATACACTTTTAGGCCTAAACACAGCTTCATTCTGATTCAAATGAAAACTTTACTAGCCATGTGTTTGGTTTAATACAGGCTACATAGTTACCTGCACAGCACAGCCAAGCAAGAGAAGCAGCAATTTCCTGATCTCTTCTAGACCTTCCTCTACAGAGAAAAAAGTTCATTTGGTCACATTTTATTTTGATGGTTCGTTTTTTAGGTTTAAGTTACATTGCATCTACATGCCAACTAATTCTCATTAGATTATAAGTCGAGTGTAAGGTTGGGGTTAGTGTTAGTGTAAGTTGACAAAGTTTCTTATCGTTAAATGTCTGTTGAAGGAGAAGTATAAAACATTAAGCAGACAGTCTACTAATATTCAAATGGATCACCAAAATAAAGTGTTACTGTTCATTTGACAATACAAATGAAGCTATATATTTGCACATATATTTACTTTAAAATTGCTTTAGAACACTATTCATTTTAAAAGACCATGATTACTTTAATCTTTACTATAAATGATGGTTCATAAATCATTCTAATGCACTGATCTGATGATATGATCTGAAAATATTTGTATTTTGGTAACCACGTTCAATAGTATTTTTTGATGAATACCACCTTCAAACAAAGAAGATGATTTGAAGTAAACTTTGAAAAACACTGAAAAACTGATTTACTGTTTTGAATAATTTAATTCATCCTTAAAGTCTCTCTGACCCTGAAAGTTGCTGAGACTTTTATCTGAGCATGTTGATGTATTTCTAATTGAAACTGAAAAATGAATTAGGTCTAGATGGGATACAGCTACTGATGGGATACTGTGGCAAACTTTTTGTAACACTGTACAACAATAATTACTGTTAGGGTTGAGGTAGACGTTAACAAAATGTAAAATAATGGGTAATTTAATAAATAATATAAATGATTCTCGCTAACTTCCAGCCACAGCTATAGCCCTTCTAGCAACAACTGGTAAAATGGGCAGGGTCAAGTATATTGCTATACAGCTGCTATGGAAGGCCTTAATAATTCTTGCTAACTTCCAGCCACAGCTTAAGTTAAGGCCTTTAGTTGAAGTAAAAAGAAGAACCGAAACCCCAAATGCGGAAGCAAATGGTCAGACTTTGATTAAAAATGACCACATATTTTTTAGTGGTTTAACTTGCCGGGATTAATTATTCAACTTAAGTATGACAATCTGAACTAACAAAATAAACATTTTGTATAATTTGATTTACCACAGATTTGAAAATATGCTTAAATATTCTTATAACAAAAATATATAAAATAATTTCTGAAAAAATAATGTCCTTTGTCACTGTATAAATATATATATATATATATATATATATATATATATATATATATATATATATATATATATATATATATATATATAATAGTAATAATAATAATAATAATTATTATTATTATTATTGTTGTTGTTTTTGTTGTTGTTGTATTACCCCCAAGTAGTAGTTATAGGATAAAGTAAAATTAGAATGACACAAGTTTTATTATGAGCTCCTGATTGTTCATATGTGCGTCATTGCATTCAAGCCTCTGGAAGTATTCTGCACTTTCTCAGAACAGGCTGTTGAAGAGCTGACATACCACAGACTGGATTTTTGCCCAGCAGCAGCACATTGGGTGGAGGGATCATGATCATCTGATGCAGAGTCTCCTACAGTAAATAAAAAAGTAAAAAAACAGGAGATGAGAGAAACACACAGAATCTGCTCTGAAAATCAGCAGCTTTCAGATCTATTAAAAAGAGCCAGAGCAGATCCATCTGCCATCAGTTTCCTTGCATCCAACCGTAAATTGCAGGCAGGACTGGCGACCGAGGTAATTGTTCAGAGACGTCGTTCTGAGAGTTCAAGAAACTTGTGTGCAGGCTCATGGGGGATGGTTTAAATCAACACAATTATTAAACTTTGATGCGGTGCTTCAGATGGATTTTCCGTAATAATTTCCGTAAAAACACATTAGAGGACCACTGCAGAGGTAATTCAAGTTAAATTACACACTTCTCACTAAAAGATTTATTAGTGCTCCTTAAAAAGCCAGATGACTAGACAACCGCAGGGGTCTAAGACCATTCGTTACAAAGCATTTCATCCTAAATCAGTATGACAATGCGTGCTATTAATTATTAAACACCATTACTTAATAATGTCTCTGCGTGGCCGGAAGACATCCCATAATGTCGTTTTAAGTAATGCTAACATAAATCGACAAAGGTACGGGTGGCCTTACTGTGACTGTCACTTTTCCATATGGGAATTCCTTAATGCCGATTCTTCTCAGGCAAGATCGTTTTCAATTTAGCTGAATAAGCTAAAACGGTGATTGAATGCTCTGAATTTGCTCCTAACAAAACTCAAGGGAAGGCAAAGTCAATTCCAATGATCGCAGAATGTGTTTATGAATGCTTCTAAACACAAACGGCTTTGCTATATATCACACTTTTAGATGGATATTAGATGGCTAAATATGCATTTAGATGGTATTTCTCAAGCACTCAAAAGTCAACAGATGGTTTTGCAAAGCAGGGCTGAACTGAAAATAATTTCACATCGCAATGTTTTTTATTCTGTGATATATATATATATATATATATATATATATATATATATATATATATATATATATATATATATATATATATATATATATATATATAACTGTATGTATATACAGTTGAAGTCAGAATTATTAGCCCCCCTTTGATTTTTTTCTTTTTTAAATATTTCCCAAATGATGTTTAACAGAGCAAGGAAATGTTCACAGTATGTCTGATAATATTTTTTCTTCTGGAGAAAATTTTATTTGTTTTATTTCAACTAGAATAAAAGCAGTTTTCAATTTTTTAAACACCATTTGAAGGTCAAAATTATTAGTCCCTTTAAGAATTTTTTTTTCAATAGTCTACAACAAACAATTGTTATACAATAACTTGCCTAATTACCCTAACCCACCTAGTTAACCTAATTAACCTAGTTAAGCCTTTGAATGTCACTTTAAGCTTCATAGTCTTGAAAAATATCTAGTAAAATATGATGTACTGTCATCATGGCAAAGATAAAATAAACCAGATATGAGAGATAAGTTATTAAAATGATTATGTTTAGAAATGTGGGTTGTAAACAGATACTGGGGAAAAAATAAACAGGGGGGCAAAAAAATAAACAGGGGGGCTAATAATTCAGGAGGGCTAATAATTCTGACTTCAACTTTATATATATTACGATATGCATACCATTTCACTAAATGACTTGAATAATTATTCTTTTATAACTATTCTATAACTTGGAAATAATTAATAATTTTCGATTAATTGGGATGATTATGTAGATTACATTACATTAGAGTTTATTAACATGAAATATAATAATCAACCAAAGCATAAATAAAAAAAGCATAGATAAAAAAGTTATAATTATTTATATATTTTTATATTCTATATACTTATATTTTTTACATATTTATATATATTTATTTACTATGTTTATCTATTATTATTTTACGTTTGCATGTACAGTATTATTTGTATATTATATCGTTAATTGTTATTTGTTGGGCCGAATTTGTAAGTCATTGTGTTTGAACATTTAAAAACAATAAAGTTATTAAAAATTAAGTAAATAAAACTATAATCTAAATTACACGTGTCAAATCCAGTTCCTGGAGGGCCGCAGCTCTGCATCATTTAGTTTCAACCCTAATTTAACACACCTGATCAAACTAATTGAGTCCTTCCGGCTTGTTTGAAACAGCTACATACTACAGCTAATGCCGCAGTCACACTAGAGTTTAAGCATGCAAAATTCTGTTGTACGGCACTGCGAGAAGAGGCAAGATTAAACAAGATGATTTGACATTTAACAAAAGCGAGCGATTGGTCCATGTTTTAAATTTCTGTCCAGAGAGGTCATGTTTTGATCTTTAATTGGTCTCACGCAATTACATCATGCAATTTTGCATGTCAAAGTTCACCAAGTTTGAACTTTCCAACGCAACAAACTGCGAAACTTGACGCACGACCTTGTGTTTCCAGTCTGACGAATTTGCATGCGTATGAATGGAAGTCTATGGGGAGAAAAGTGCAGTGTGACCGCAGGAACTGGATTTGACACCTGTGACCTACTGTTTTACTGTTTTCCAAGGAGTCTAACAGTATTCAAGTATATACAGTAATTGAATACGTGAAGTTTAATACTAAACTAATTTCGAGAGAAGCTTGTGCTCATGTGCTAATCATCGTGCTAATCACGATCTTCCAATCAAAGGACCCTAAGTTTCTATATATATCCTCATTTGCTTTCTACAACTATCTTCGTCAGGAAGAAACCCCCCTCCTCCCCTTCTTCCACCTTTATCCAGAATGGGAGGCACGCCGGCCCAGTGACTAGCACTGTTGCCGCACAGCAATAATACGTATTTCTGTATTTCTGTGCGGAGTTTGCATGTTCTTCCCATGTCTGCGTGTGTTTCCAGCAGGTTCCCCGGTTTCCTTCCACCATCCAAATATGCTCTATATTATAGAAAAAATAAACCTAAGTCTCTTTTCCTAGATGTCTTGTTTTCAGAAAGTTCACCTTAGCCTCAGCTGCAGGGGAGTTTTGAGATCGTCCTGAGCTCAATCTCCCCTCGCCCCCGCAAAAGGGAGGGAGCCCTGGACTCGAGGATCCTTTGAGCTCGGGGCTCTATCCAGGGCAGCATGCCAAACAAGCTTTTTATAAATCATGAACTACATGTGAACTCTTGAATCAAATATAAAATAATGCTGAATACTGTAGTCTTCATTCTATAAACAATTCAATAACATTTATCGTTATTCATTTAATTTAATTATCGCTATTATTAATCAAAGCTACAAACAGCACAATATCTTATGCCTGAATGCTTTTAAGATCCTCACAGTCACAGGCCTAAAAACAAGCAAATAATTAATTATAATCCAGACTTAACATTGCAGATTCTTCGATATTATTGTGAATGATCAGTGACAATAAATTGTGCAGCCCTATTACAAGGCCATGATTTAAAGGGATAGTTCACACAAAAATAAAAATTTACTCACTATTTACTCTTGCTCAGGTGGTTTCAGATGTTTATGAACTTAAGAAAGTTTACTAAAAGGGAAAATTCTGTCATTTACTCACTCAATTAGTTTCAAATTATGTGTTTCTTTCTTCTGTTTTAAACATGAAAGAAGATAATTTGAAAAATATTGGAAAACTCTAACCATTGACGTCTGTACTCATTTCCCTACTAATAGTTACAGATTGTATTAATATATTAATTTGTGTTTAAAAGAAGAAAGAAGCTCATAAATAAGTGAAGAGTGAGTAAATGGTGACAGAATTGCCATCTTTGGGTGAACTATCCCTTTAAGTGACCAATGAAAAACCAGTGAAAATTGAGCAACAGGAAATAATTCAGTTATTTGGCTTGTCTGTGTTTTAGGGCACTTTCATTACTCTGACCGCTTTAGCCGGCCGCCACCATGACAGACAGGTCTCACGGGATGTAAAATGGGTCATTTTCCAGCTTTGCTCTGGGCCATTGCTGTTTCCTAGCTACTGATTACACAGATGTTGGCTTGGCATGCTGATATCTAGGGCACTCTGTATGAGAGGGGCTTGTAGGTCTGGTGGCGAGAATATTTCCACATGGACAGATGTGCAGGATGTGGGACCGGGCTCTCTGTAAGGGGCAGCGAATGGCAGGAACTTTAGGGAATGATTTCAGATCATGCAATTCTACCTCAGTTAAAAATGAGCAGAATCAAGTCAAATTGATTTCAACTTTTGGATGCAGCAAAAACATATATGATTTTTTTCTGTCAAATTTATGACAAAGTATTAGTACACAGAAAAATCTTTTGAGTAAAATCTACTCAGTTTAGATAGTATTTGGTCCCTCTCTAAAATGAGTTAATGTTACTCAAGCTAATGAGACAATGAAAGGATTAATTGAGTGATGATTGAGCACTGATGATGAGCACCTGCTGTTATTTAGCAGAAACACAGAAAAGTAACACAAAACTACAACTGACTTCAGTCATCTTAAATGAAATCAGCTGAAATATTATACATTAAATCTCTCAAAATCTCAGTAGAGGATCAACTCATCCAATAAGCAACTCCATAAACAGCAACTTTACTTATTTTAACCAGTTTGCCTTTTTTATAAAGAGGGACCAAATACTCTCTGAACTGAGTAAATTATACTCTGAGGATTTTGCTGTTTATTAATTTAGCTTAAACCAAAAGCACTAAACCAATTACACCAACACATCCCATTATAACACTTTAATGAAAGCAAAAATTAAATCTGACTGGCACTAAAACATTGGTTATAAGAATATCAATCTTTTTCAGCAGCGTTGGTTCTGAAAATATTTTTTCATTTGGCTTTTTTTTTTTTTTTTAAAGTTTGTGTTAAAGAGTTATACATCATGAATTAAACCAAAACAACCAGCTTTTAAAAGCAAAAAAAAATCTCTTTCTCTTTCTCTCTCTCTCTCTTTCTCTCTCTCTCTCTCTCTCTCTCTCTCTCTCTCTCTATATATATATATATATATATATATATATATATATATATATATATATATATATATATATACACACAACAGTTCTGTCTGGTTCTCGAATCTGATTGGCTGATAGCCGTGCGATATTCTGCAATATCAGAACTCCTACAGCCTCTTTACCCTTTGTGTATTACTCCGCCCACATACACCCAGCAAAAAGCAGACACTACAGATCTAAAGTTTAAAAGATGCTTTTAACAGTTTTAACAGCTGTTTAACTGTCAGCTTATGATTTGAATCCAAGGCGGAAGAAAGTAGTTCCTCATACAAAAGGGTTTTTGAGACTCTCCATGTTTGATTAAGTTTTTATATACACAATTATGCTGTCAAACTGTTATATAAACGCAATATCACACTCGTAGCAGTGCCATATGGCTGTATATCGGCACTGGTGGGGGCACTAAGGCACTTGGCCTGCGGCCTCGTGCCAACGCACGCCTTCCACCAGTGCCGATATATAGCCATATCGCACTGCTACGAGTGTGATATTGCTCATATATATGGTAACATATATGGCAATGTTCTGTTTTTAAACTTTGCAAATGTCTTACCTGGTAGTATGATTTAATATGGTACATGAGCACAGACAGGTTTTGAGCTCTTTGGCCGATGTCATTGTTTACTTTGTTTAAACCTTGAACAGTTCCTTCAGGATTTCTGCGAAAAAAAGACAAACATAATCTTGTAACACAAAATCAGCAAGAAACGTCATGTTTCTGAAAACCTGTTTAGCATATTAACCTGCACTAAAGGGCATGAGTAATAATAGCAACAAAACACAGTCTGCTCATTCATTCTGCCTGTTTTTCTCCACATGACTTCATTCCTCAACTAGCCAGCAACACAGCAGACACAAACAGAAAAAAAGCAGCAGAATTGAGCTCAGGTCAAGCTTTGAGAGTTATTTCAGCGCTTCAGAATCCAAACACTGACACAGTGACCTAATACGCTGCTGTCCCATCATGCAGTTCTGTCTGGGATCTGCTTCGTCGCACCATTAAAAAAAAAAAGTACACAATCCAAGTCTAATCCATCTCCTCCCTGAATCCATGGGATTACAGTGTCCAGCTTACAACTAAAATAAACTCTTTACTACCTCAGCATCATATTTTGCTTTAAAAATACGAGGTCACAGCATTAACTATCATTTATATGGCACTTTATATACATGACAACCTGTAAATGAGACTGAAATTAAATTTGTGGCAAAAACAGCCCATCCAAGTGCTGTCCAGCTGAACAGACTCACTACAAAGTGGTCGTTCATTGGCATGACAAAGCATACAGTGTTTTGGGTCTCCTGCATGCAATGAGTCATTTAAAAGCCAAAACACATGCCGTCTGGAGCCAGCAACTGCCCAATATTACATGCAAACGATGCAGTATGGGGTCTGGAATGGGAGCACTCGTATTGATCTCATGCAGAAACCCTGTGAACTGAAAAGTCACTGAGAGAACCCTTTCAACAACATGCCCCTGAGCAGCGCACTTAACTAAGAGTCCAATTGCACTGGGTGAGTAATTCAAGGCTCAATCGCTAATTAAATGTGTGCCAGGGTTATTAGAGTTAACCAATCCAAAAAACAAAAACGCTTTAATAGGTGGTTCATTCTGCTGTGGCGACCCCTGATTAATAAAGGGACTAAGCCTATTATGCAAATGTTTTGTATATGCACTGATAACATTCATCAGGGGTCGCCACAGCTGAATGAACCGCCAACTTATACCGCCAGAGTATTTTTTTCCACAGCAGATGCCCTTCCAGCTGCAACCGAGAACTGGGAAACATCCATACACACTCATACACTATGGACAATTTAGTTTATTCAATTCATCTGTACCACAGGTCTTTAGACTGTGGTGGAAACCAGAGCACCCGGATAAAACCCACGCCAACACGGGGACAACATGCAAACTCCACACAAAAATTTCAACTGATCCAGCCAGAACTCAAACCAGCGACCTTCTTGTTGTGAGGCGACAGTGCTATGAGCCACTGTGTCACCCTGCCCAGATAATATCTAAAATAAAACGATTACAGGTGAAGCAGTGGCGCAGTAGGTAGTGCTGTCACCTCACAGCAAGAAGGTCGCTGGTTCGAGCCTATATATATATATATATATATATATATATGTATGTATGTATGTATATATATATATATATATATATATATATATATATATATATATATATATATATATATATATATATATATATATATAATAGAAGTCTCTTTCTTATGTTCACCAAGACTACATTTATATTTATTTATTTTAACAAAAACCAAGCAATTCAACAAAACTGTGAATTATTTTGTTTATTATTTTATTTATGATTTTAAATAAATTTTGCAAATTATTAGGAAAGGTAATTTTAATACAAAGCTCAATCTTTGCACATAATTACACCAGAAATCAATCTAACGTGCTGATTTTGTGCTCAAGATATATTTCTCATGAACATTGACTTTGAAAATGTTGTGCTGTTTAGTATCTTTGTCTTTGCTATCATCTTTGATCAATTCAAATTTTTCTAGCTAACTAAAAAGTATTTCCAACTTCTGAATGTCTTTTAAAATAAAACCTTTAGATAAATAAAACCTCAAACACATTAAAACGGAATGCTTACTGTGCTGATTGAAGTGCTTAGATAAAATAACTGTGTGCAGATGGACATATACTTACATCTGATTCATGACTTTGTTCAGGAATATGCCATCTATTAATTCAGTGTATTCAGAGAGCACGTTCCCCTCTTTGTCACCTAGTTGTCCTAATGTCTTAACCTTCAAAACACAAACATAATAGTTGGTTAACACAGTGCACTGAAGTCATGAAGTACTGTACAGCAGCAGAGGATCATTGCCCACACAACATCACTTTTGAGAATGGGAAATTTAGTGAGACAATGTATAAATATGTGCACTTCTATACACAATGGAGGAGGATTTAGGCTAACAACAACACTATATAGTATATTTTTAGATTATAGGCCAAGGACTAAATGGTCTGATGCAGCTTCAAATGCTTTTTCCACATAAACTTGAATGTGTACATATTATTTAATGATCCATAAATAATTTAATTAAATAATTTTACCATTGCTTCTATCCTAGGCTTTATCCATTTGTCAGCAAAGCATTTTAAACAATTTTAATGTCATGACAAAATTATTATTTTATATCTTTTAATAAGTATAGGTCAAAAAAGTTATGTTGTTTCATTTTCCATCAAGCATATCTGTACATAACCTTACTCCATCCACATTTTGACACTTTCACAAATGCTGTTATTAACATATACACTCTACTTGCATTTAATATGCTATATACATTAAATATTTAATTTCATGCAAATTTAATTTGATGAACACTTAAATAGGGTATCTTGCCTTTGACCCAGAATGTGAATATTATATAGAAATTTCATAATGCATTCAGCTGTCTTATTTAGAGCACGTTGGGTTAGGGCTGGTCGATTAATCGAAAAATAATCAAAATCGACTTTCAGAAACTATAATCAATCCAATTTTTCCAAGTTATTTTTTTTCAATTACTTTCCCTACCACGTGTGGACTAGTCTACAGTACAAACAATCATTATACAATAACTTGCCTAATAACCCTACCTGCCTAGTTAACCTAATTAACCTAGTTAAGTCTTTAAATGTCACTTTAAGCTGTATAGAAGTGTCTCGAAAAATATCTAGTCAATATCTAGTCATTTTAAAGATAAAATAAATCAGTTATTAGAAATGAGTTATTAAAACTATTATAATTAGAAATGTGTTGAAAAAAAATCTTCTCTCCGTTATACAGAAATTGGGGAAAAAAATAAACAGGGGGCTATTAATTCAGGGGGTTTAATCATTCTGACTTCAACTATATAGTTGATAGATAGATAGATAGATAGATAGATAGATAGATAGATAGATAGATAGATAGATAGATAGATAGATAGATAGTCATATTTTAGTAAAAATGACAGCATTTTCATTTGAAAAAGTCACCACAACTTTACAAATAATAATAAAAAAACGTAATAATCTAGTGAGAGCAAGACAACTGTTCAAGTGGTAACTAAAAGCGATAGTTCACCCACCAATGTCATAATTTACTCATCCTGTACTTGTTCCAACCCTCTGTTAAACACAAAACAAGACAATTTAAAGAAAGCTGGAAACCTGTAACCACCGACTTTCATAGTATCTGCTTTTCCTACTATGGATGTCAACGGCTACCAGCTTTCAACTTTCTTCAAAATATCTTCTTTTGTGTTCACTTGAGGAATAAAAAAATCTGTTTTTCCACCACTTGAAGACGAGTAAATACGGAGTATATTATATATTTTTAAATTTTCCCTTAAAATTTTTCATAGCTGTGTTTTTGTGTGACATTCAACAAAACAGAAACAAATTGTCATTAGTCAAACTAGTTATGAAACCTCTATCTGAGCTTCCGCTGTTTAGATAGCTCGAATACTGACACATTTAAGTTAACATATATGCTGCATCATTTCTCCCAATACAAAACATATAAAACTGCAACTTACCCAGGTGACAAGAGAGCTGCTCATGAACTGCTCTAATATGACAGGAATCTCGCCCTCCATATTAATAATAGAGAGATTTACTAGTCAGAAACACTCGGAGGAAACAAATAAAGCCATATAAATCCAGAACCGATGGTTTATCCCTCTCCACAGACAGCTGAGCAGAGCAAATGTAGCTGCATCATTGAACAGAACAAAAAATCTGCAATTCACAGCGACGCGACGCAGGATTTCATATGCATGTATTTCATTCCTCGTCAGCAAACTGGCATCTGTTCTGAGATTAAAAATAAACGCAAAATGTTGCTGTTTAAATGGTTCTTCGGGACTGCAGCATCATCAACAGGACCTGTTCGGACATCACGCCGAAAAACTGCAGTGAGGGTGTTCACTGGTCCACCATTTACTGTAACGCTACGTGAAGTTACAAAGTAAACACCAGCGGCAAACAGCAACAAAGTAACGCGGTGTTGATAACTAAATTCAGCAGCAAGACATGTAGTGAGTTGAGGCTGTTCTGAAGGAAATTAAAAGTAGGTCTATGTCTGAAGTGGAAAAGTTTTGTCGTATTGGTGCTTGTCATTTTCTCTCCCCAGCAGCATCTGTCTGATGGCAGTAATTCCATCATGTCAACAGTGGTTTAGTACATCTCTGACCTTAATCTGTTACCATAACAACAGCCGTCAACCCCCAATCACCACCAGTTAAAATATTATAACAGGCTTATTGAGTTTAATCTCCAGGTCTGTGCTTTAACTCGTCAAAATACTAAAGAACTTCAGTCAAATAAAATTTTGTTTAAACTTTAAGCTATTTACAGAATATTTTTATTTGTAAGGAAATAAATAGTTTCCCGTGTTAACATCTCATGATTCAGACAAAAATAATTTAGAGCAGTTTAATAAAAATGTAAGGTGAAGTTTTAATGCCCCCTTGCGGAGGATTTGAGAAGTACGCTTTAAACTGGTAGAGCCTGATTTTTTTTTCTTCTGACATACTTTATCGATTTGGGACAACCAGTGTTGGGAAGGTTACTTTGGAAATGTAACAGATTACAGAATACCAATTACTCTATTTAAAATTTAATAAGTTACTGTAATCTTTGATTACTTTATAAAAGTAAAGTAACTAATTACATATGATTACATTTTGATTACTTTTAAGTTTCTAATGAACATTTTCAACTAAATAATTTTCAAGCATTTATACAGAGCAGGTGTGAGCTTACAGTTGCTCTGTTTACTGTTAGAATCTCAAAAGCTTTCATCACTTAAATAAAATTAATTTAATTAATTTAAATTTAAAGTAGAGCCACCACAAAACCAGACCTTATCACAATAACATGTTTACTGTTGTTACAAAATCAAAATGTTACTTAGTTGTGCAGGTGATTTATGTGGCATTTGCAATAAAAAAAATACATTAAATTTTTGCAATTTTCATTTTTAAATCGAAGCCACTTAAATCTAAATCAATCGCATCTTAGTGATCAATAAAACTGCCAATGAAACATATGAGGCAGAACTGTTCATTTCAATTATTTACTGTAAATAATATGCTGTACCAAACAGGAATAAATTATAATACATAACAGCAAAAACAAAAAATCCGATAAAACCAGGTGTTACACATTTAAAACACTATTGATCCGCGATGGATAAATGTAGCTTGTGTGAACACTACTGAGCTACTTCACTAATAAAATAGCTTCGCTACTGTGAAAAGCTATTTGATTTTTTAGCGACGCTACCGTCACGCTACTGAGAAATGTATTTTATCTAGCTACACTGATAATGTGATAACATCACTTTGACCAGAGGAGTCTGTTGGTGCCCTGAAATTCACATATCGATAACTTTGTGAGTCAAAATATATTATTGAAAATGAAAGGGTCTGTTCCTATTGCTGTACACTCACGATAACGACAAAAACCATTTGCTTTTATAAAACAAAGAAACGCTAGCTTACATACCTGCAGGTGCTTCCTCATGCTTTTCAATGGAAAGGAGGAATAGACATGGTGCGCTCATGGCCATAAATTTAATTTAACAGTACTGGGGACAATAAATATAACATTTCTTATAAGCAATTTTTCGAAGGGGACACAAATAATACAGCCGATTTGTACTATTAAAGATATGTCCCCACTGTCAAAAATGGTTTTATTGTTCATATTAACAACACATTCCTTCCTCTTCAGGTTTGTGCACTCCAACAACAGAGCTGGTCTTACATACAGCGTTGGTATCAATCACTTCGCAGACAAGAAAAAGGAAGAGATGGCCAGGATGACAGGAGGGTTACTTCCGAAAAAGAAAAAGGAGGATGCAAAATAGTCCACAGAATAGTACAACTGACAAAATAGTGGCAAACAAATAATTACAGTTTAATAAATGACTCAGTCAACAGACCTACACAGTTATCTGATGAGAATTGCGGTAATTTAATCTTTTCCAACCACATAACTTGATTCTGTATCTTCAAGCTTATTTGGCAAACAAACATGATTTTCTTTTTTTTAAACATTTATTTTTGTCCTTTTTGCCTTTATTATTAGATAGGACAGTATTGAGACTGGAAGCGAAGTGGGAGAGAGGGGGTAGGGAAATGTCGTCAAGCCGGGAATCGAACTCGCGATGCCCTGACGTGCTATTGCACCATATGTCGGCGCGCTAACCACTAGGCTATTGCGCCAACACAAACATAATTTTCAAACCCAACTGTACATCAATTCTGATTAAACTATGAATGAAAACCACATGAAAACAAATACAGTTTTTTGCTCATTTTTCAGTGTCATTTAATGTTTCAAAAATAATTTCCTAAATCTCATTTCCTAACATTTAACCGGTAAAAAATTAAACCCGTTTCGATTTCAGCTGCAACATTCAGATGGTCGGGTCAGAATTTGGTTACAACAACATGAAAGCATGGATCCATCCTGCCTTGTCTCAGCAATTGTGGTGGTGCAATGGTGTCTTGTCTTGCAATGGTGTCTTCTGATGGCTACTTCCAGCAGGATAGTGCGCCATGTCATAAAGTGTGAATCATCTCAGACTGGTTTCTTGAACATGACATTGAGTTCACTGTACTCAAATGGCCTCCAAAGTCACCAGTTCTCAATCCAATAGAGCACCTTTGGGATGTGGTGAAACTGGAGACTTGCATCAGTGATGTGCAGCCGACAAACTGCGGGATGCTATCTATTAATTTAAGAGTTATTGTTGATCTAGTTTTAGATCATAAAGGTGTATGTAGTCAAACCTGTTTGACAAAATCTTTTCAAAGTGATTCATAATCAACTCAAATGAAATGCGGCGCCGCGCGAACTGTTCGCTTGAGTCTCAAAACATTTTAGACTTTAAGACCCCGCGGAAACCCTAACAGAGAATGATCTTAAAGTGGTGGTCTCAAAAATTAAACAAGAATAGACTTGTGCTGCAAACGATGTGCTGACCAGTCTCATTAGGTGAGGTTCATTTTAAATTGAATAAACTATAATTCAATTATATAGTTGTTAGATTACACTTTTTTGTGTGTGTGTGTTGTGAATGATGGTTTATATAGGCATATTGGGGTGTGTGTGAGACCTTGCATTCAACATTTTTTTCTAACCACCCCTAAAAAATAGTGGGGGTTGTGAGTCATTAGCTATGTTTGCATCCAAAATGTGAATGATCTGGATTATCGCATAAAAGACATACAAATTAAACAGCGTTTCCATCCAATTAGTCAAAGCGAACAAAATACTCACTTCCTGATAAAGTGGCGCCAAATATACAGTAAAACAGTAAAAACAGAATTTGCTGCAGTAGGAGAAGCTGCTTTAATCTTTTCTTCTTCTAATAAATTACTTATGCCTCAGAATGCAATTCTGACACGCAGTGAACGCACGGTGGTGTTTGAAGGTGTCAGACGCGGAGCACAGACGCTCTTGATTCTGGAGGTCATTAATAATAAAATAACACTAATACTGAAATGGTGAAGGTGTTTTAGAATGGTGTTACAGTGTGCACAGCCTGCTGGTTTGATCATTTACACACATTTTTATCACCACATGATCTCTTTTAACCAAATCACATGACCTTTTTAAAATGCGCATACTGAAATTTGAGCGGTAAAAGTGTTTCCATTGTAGTTTATGCACATTTTTTATAGAATAAAAAGTTTATCCTACTCGGTTATGCGCATATGTTTATGCGAATTATGTGCATCATGGCGTTTCCATCAACCGGTTCATGTGCATATCCAAAATGCGCATGAAAAAAGGTTGATGGAAACAGCTATTAGCATTATTTTAGTGGCCGTGGGCTGAAAAGTTTGGGAAGCCCTGAGCTAGTGTGCTCCAAAGAGTGACAAATTACATCTATAAAACTAGCTATGTTTCCATCCACCAATTTTATGTGCATTTTGCAAATGACCTTAAAAAAGGTCATGTGATTTTGTTAAAAGAGATCATGTGATGCTTAAAATGTGTGTGAATAGATAAAACGTCAGGCTGAGCACATTATAAAACATCTGAAATGTTGTTTTGGTCATTATAAAACGCCTTACCATTTCAGTATTAATGTTATTATATTTTAATGACCTCCAGAATCAAGAGCGCCTGTGCTCCGCGTCTGACACCTTCAAACGCCACTGCGCGCTCACTGCTTGTCAGGATTGTTTTCTGAGGCGCATTCATTTAGAAAAGATTGATGCAGCTCCTCCTACTGCAGCAAATGCAGTTTTTACTGTTGATATTTGGCACCAGTTAATCAGGAAGTGACGATTTTGTTTGCTTCGACTCGTTGGATGGAAACGATGCTTCATTCGCACAACTTTTATGCGATAATCCAGATTTGCGCATAAAGTTTATTCGCATTTTTGGATGGAAACATAGCAACTGATAGAAACATTTAACACTAGCAGTTTGTTACTTCCACCAAAACTGTTTAAAGACTTTTTTTCCACATCAATTCATACTGGTTTCTCATCAAATCTTGACCAATCATGTACTCTCTAGCATTACATGTCCCACCCCCTTTTAAATCACCTCTCATTTGATGCACTTGAGCTCAACCAGTTAAGTAGCAGAAAATCATTCACTAAGTGCAAGATGACTACATGAAATGCTTTTTACGTTTACTTATGTGAGACAGTGATATGGTTTTACCTGATTATTTGAGATGTCACCTGCACCAAACATCTCCAAAAGTCTGTGATGGAAACTGTATAATGTTATAAAACAGAGAAGGCATTATAAATAAGACAATTCAATTTTTTTTTAAATCAAATAAACACTCTGCTAAATGTTTCAAACTGTGTGAAAAGGAAGATGCAATATGCCAGACCCAGCAATACTGAAGGCCACTGTCAGAACGCCCTGGGCTCTCATTACACGCGAGCAGTGCCACAGATATACAAGTCTCCCTTCTTGAATGGAATTAGTTAAACAGACTGACTTCCTGAAGATATTTTAATTATATGACCAGCACCTTTACATAGTATGCAAGTTTGACACCCGGTGGTTTAACTAGGTATACTTTACAAGATTGACGACATCCCCACATTAGCAGGTGAGAGTTTTTGCCCTGACCAACCTGAAAACTCTATTTCAGAAACTGCTTCTATTTCTTACA